ATCTAACCTCCCTCAGAGTCAGTGAGAACCACAAATAAAACTTGGTTCCATAAACCAGTAGATAGGCAAACATATTGGGTCCTGGCGACATTTCCTAATCCCACTGTGGCTTTATCACCCTACCAGGCTATTGCTGCTGTCACCTACCACCACTAAGCAGGTGACCTCGCCCCACTCAGATCTCACCCCACTTGGGATCCAACACCCTGGGCCAAGCCAAGGTCTTCCTCCCTGCCAGACACCTACCTCATAGAGCCCCACCTAAATGTTTTTGAACTGAATTATTCAAGAAGGTAAGAAGAAAGCAGGGTCTTTATCATTTTTAATGTATTTGAGAAATAGCTCAAGTAACTTTCGGTGGTTCAATTTCATTGCTTTATCATTGTGCCTTGTGTTAGAATGTCCATAGCATCCCACTGAGACTAATATTTTCATGGTTCCTCCGAGGCTCTTGACGGAGGGCTGAATTTTTCTTACTCTTTTTATATGTTGCCTTGAATCTACCCAGAGAAATCTCCTATTTGTTCCCTTTGAGTAATGCCCCTTTCAACATTAAATATTGTTTCACTGATCTCGTGTACCTAAAATGTCCCCTCCCACACAAACCTAGTACTTAGTACCTTCCCTAACTTAACCATCACCCTGGAAGACCACCTATGGAGGGACTCTTAACAAATGTAAAGAAAGTAAATAACAATATAATATTAACTCTCCCTTTGACAATTCAAAAAACAAAAGATGTTGAACTCTGACATTCATAGAAATGTCAAATGTTATGCAATGCCATCACACCTGGCTAACCATTATGCTTTTTTCAGTAAAGAACAACTTTTGAGCCTCAATTTCTTTATTCTTAAAATGATAAAGAACACTTAACTCACTTAATTCATTGAGATAAAATAAGGTAATATAAAAGTGGGGTTTTTATTTTAACTTTTTTGAGACAGGGTCTTGCTCGGTCACCCGGACTGGAGTGCAATGGGCATGATCATAGTTCGCTGCAGCTTCAAACTCCCAGGTTCAAGCAATCCTCCCACCTCAACCCCCAAGTAACCGAGACCATAGGCATGAGCCACTGTGCCTGGCTAATTTTTGTATTTTTTGTAAAGGCAGGGTCTTCCTATGTTGCCTAGGATGTTCTTGAACTTTTAGGCTCCTGTGATTCACCAGCCTCAGCCTGGAATTACAGGCATGAGCCACCACACTCAGTGTTGGGATCACAGGCATGAGCCACTGCACCCAGTCAGAAGTGGTTTTTATCCATAAAATATTCATATAAATATAACTAGTTAATATCATTATTTTCTTTCTTAAGTTTTGCTGTGAGCCCAAGCTGCAAAATCTTAGACTATTCAGAAAAGTGTCCATCATTTTTTCTACATTTGTATATTACTAATGATACAATTTAAGAACCTCAGAAACATGGCACGTGTCTGCCCATGTAACAAACCTGCACAATCCGCACATGCACTCCAGAACTTAAAGTATAATAAACAATTTTTTTAAAAAAAAGTAAGTGTGTTAACCTCAATGAATGTCTAGTATCTACAACCTATAATCTACTCATGTATCCATTTATTCAATAAATGTATATCGAATACCTACTGTTTTCAGGGTACACTTGCTGATGAATAAACAGTAAACTAAACAGAGTCCCTCCTCTCAAGAGCTTCCATTCAAGTGGGAGGAAACATGTAATAAATCAGGGAATACTGAAGGTTATGACAAATAAAGCCAGGTAAAGGGTAAGAGAGTGTCAAAGAAGGTTACCTAGGAAGGCCTCTCTGAGGAGCAGGAATGATGTGAGGGAGAAAGCCATGTGGATACCTCAAGGAAGAACATCCCAAGCAGAGTTGCAGAGGAATGCAAAGGCCCTGAGACAGAAACATATTTACCACGTCTGACAATGGCAAGGTAGCCAATGCTGTAAGAGAGGAGATCAGTCAGAGATCAGGTGGAAGAGATAGACACAGGCAGATCATGCATGGCTTTGAAAATAACAGTAAGAAACTTGGTGCAAGGTATGATGAGAGGCCACTGGAACACTGAGCAAGCATGTCATTGTTACGCTTTGAGGGACTATACAAGAAGCTAGCCTAAGGGGTTGCTTGTCTGTATATGTTTTATACTTCTTTAATTGTTTTTTAACTATTTGCATGCTTTACTGTGTCAAATGCTGCTTTGAAGTTCAGAAGAATGAATGTGGTAATAAAACAAAGAAAATTTCTGGGAAGTAGTGGAAAATAAAAAGCCTAATTGAAGTGGAGTCAAGAGAAAATTGGAGCAGATGTTTGTGGAGGCAACAAGTATACACAATTCTTTCAAGTTTGCTATAAAATAAAGCAAAAATAAAATTGAAGTTGGAAGAGTGTGAGAGGTCAAGAAAGAAGATGTTCCGTACTGTTTGTATGTTGAGGGAAAACCCAGGGAAAAGGGAAAAAATGATTATCTAAGAAAGGAAGAGAGTATTTGAAAAACAGTAAATCTATGAGAGAAGTGAAAAGAGAGGATTTAGTCTACATAGGTGAAAAAGTTGGCATTAGATAGTGGCAGGGACAGTATATCTCTTTTCAATGTGAAGGAAGGAAGGAAAAAGACATGGGTACAGATGTAGAAAGGGTGGTAGATTTGGCTATGGGAAAATATAAATTTTTCTAGTGGCTAATATTTTCTCAGTGATACTAGAAGCAAGAAAGCTAAGGAGTATGGGGAAAGAAATCTGGAGGCTTAACAGGAAAGAGCCTATGAAATGACTGCTGCTGAATGGCAACTTTGTCTTTCTTCTTACTATTACTATACTTTAAGTTGTGGGATGCATGTGCAGAACGTGCAGGTTTGTTACATAGGTATACACGTGCCATGGTGGTTTGCGGCACCCATGAACCCATCATCTACATTAGGTATTTCTCCTAATGCTATTTCTTCCCTTGACCCCACCACTCCATCAAGACCCAGTGTGTGATGTTCCCCTCCCTGTTTCCATGTGTTCTCATTGTTCAACACCCACTTGTGAGTGAGAACACGCAGTGTTTGGTTTTCTGTTCTTGTGTTAGTTTGCTGAGAATAATGGTTTCAAGCTTCATCCATGTCCCTGCAAAGGACATGAACTCATCCTTTTTTATGGCTGCATAGTATTCCATGGTGTATATGTGCCACATTTTCTTTAACCAGTCTATCACTGGTGTTTGAGTTGGTTCCAAATCTTTGCTATTGTGAATACTGCCACAATAAACATACCTGTGCATGTGTCTTTACAGCAAAATGATTTGCAACTTTGTCTTTCTATGTGCCCTTATTTTGTAAATAATTCTTTTTTTTTTTTTCTTTTCGAGACAGAGTCTGGCTCTGTCATCCAGGCTACAGTGTGCAGTGATGTGATCGCAGCTCACTGCAACCTCTGCCTTCTGGGCTCAATTTATCCTCCACCTCAGCCTCTTGAGCTCCTGAGTGGGAATACAGGCCCCCCATGCCTGGCTAATTCTTTAAATTTTTTTTTTAATTTTTATTTAATTTTTAAATTTTTAATAGAGATGGAGTTTTGCTGTGTTGCCCAGGCTGGTCTCAAACTCCTGAGCTCAAGCAGTCTGCCCACCTCAGTCTTCCAAAGTACTGGGTTTACAGGCGCTAGCCACTGTGCCTGGCTCTAAATCATACTTGACTATGTTATATTGTAAACTTTTAGAGGGCAGAAGTTATGCTCCCCTCATTGATTCTGTATGTTTAAAAAACATATTAGATACTGAAGATGTAGAGGAGCTGTTACTATGATGCTGGACAGTGGGACATTAAATTTTGCCTAACTGAAGTCTTGGGGGAGAGTACAAAATTATGTAAACTTCCCAACTGATTATGAAACACCTTTACATGTTTGGCGTAAAGAGACAGAAGTAAAAGTAATATATAGCATCCACTAAAAAACGCTACAAGCATCTACTCAAAGGTTTTATCTTTTAATCCCATATGGACTTTTCGATGCTACAGTTATTACTTATATATTGAAATTACAGATTGGACACCTGGCTTTTCCAGTCATATAATTAAGTCTACATCTCAGTACTACCATTTAGCTTTCCATTTTTTATTTGAAAATTAATCTTATTAAGATTAAAAACTCAAATACACCTATTTTAGTTTATATAACTTAATTCAACTTTTCTTCTGGCCTATTAAAGGGAATGTCTACCAATGTCAGTTTTTTTATTATTCTCCCAAGACTTGGAAGTGGCCAGCCTACATTACTAACAGTATTTACACCTAATTATAAAACAATAAAGTTGACCTTTGAAAATAACTATCAAGCATCAGAAAGTGCCTTTTCTTCATCTGCTTTAAGGATTACATTTGTTTCTTTTGTGTAAATAATATATTATTACAATTTGACATTATCTACTTCATCTTTAATACACTGAGAACTAAAAATAAATCAATAAACATTTGAAAATGTTTTCTACAATTATATTTCATCTCATATACCAGTGACATTTAAGTTCAGCCTCTTTCTTTAACACTCATTTTCTAAACCTCAACTGTAATAATTTTATGTTTTATTATACAATAGTTTTCCTTCCACTGGGTCATCTGTTAATACTTCTCCAACAAACCAGAGTCTTCTTATGAAGGGCTGTTGTGAATACCAGCATTCATAAATTCCTATAAAAAAATAAAAATAAAAATTCCCAGGTGCACAGTTTTCCTCCAGGTCAGCATAATTCCACTTTCCAACATCTGGGGCTAGGGAAAGTTATTGTTTAACAAGGCAATGAGCATTTATAACATTTCTACCCATTACAGCATTTAACAAATGTTATTGAAATTGCTAATTCACTTGTCTATATCCCACTGTAGACTATAAACTCTGTGAGATTAGAGATTGTGCCCATCTAGTTCTTTGTATCCTCAATCTGGTACATAATAAAAGGTCAACAATATACATGCTGAATCAATGAAAGTCCCAGCAATGTGGAGAATGGATATGAAGAACTCCACAGCAAGGCACTTACCTGTGAGATCCAGGGTTCTGTCCACAAAAATCACTGATGCCCTGCCCGCAGCAGTCTTCCTCCTGTTCTTGGCAGGGGCATAATTGGCCAGATCCGCAGCGATGACCCGACTTAAGGAACCTACAGCAAAACACTCCTCCCGTACTCCTAAATGTTCACACAGAGAACTGAGGCCTGACACCAGGCACCTGATCTGCAGGAGCAGCTCCGGGGTTAGGGCAGTGGCGTCCACATCACCCAGGCTGCCCAGCTTCCTTTTATCCGGTCGGGCACTATTAAGGAGATGCACATCCTGGGGTAGCAGTGGGAAAAGGGATGCAAAGGCTGGAGTCAACGCCAGGTGGGGAGCGACAGGGGCAAGCAATAACGGGGCATAGAACACCTCAGCGGTGTAATTAATGTTGCCCATCCATTCACACAGCTTCTCCTCCAGCTGCTCGAACACCGGCTGCTGCCCCTCCATCTCGGCCGCTGCCGCCGCTGGGACATGATTAGCTGTGAGGTGGACAGCATGGCTCACGGCTGTGACCACCACACAATACTGGAAGTGACTGCGGCAGATGATGTCCCGTAGGATCTCCACGGTCCGGCCTTTCAGCAGGCGGCTCAACACAAACACCGCCTTGGGCTGCTTGGCTCCACCACCAACTGCGTCGGGCTCGAACTCTCGAAGGTGACACTCAGGACTCCCCACAGCCTCTAGGAGACGGGTGGATCCGCAGCCCCAGTGCAGGCATTCGACGCAGGTGGCGTCCAAGTAAACCACAGCCCGTTTCACTTTGGCCAGCACCTGCTCCCATCCTTGCTGGGTAAAGGACAGTACTCCTGAGGCGCTCATAGTTGGAGACTCGCAGACTTGGGGAACTATGGTGCAGGAACTTCTCTCAGAACTCACCGCTTCCGGAAATGGGGCTCCCAGAGACTTTGACAGTCAACACAGTACACGTGGTCCGGCCTCTGACGCGCTCCCTGACGGCGCGCGGTAATGACGTTTAACTGAGCGGTGATTGGCTAGGGAGGAGGCCAGGCCTGAGGAAGGATGGTCTGGTCTGGAAAGAAGTGGGCGGGGTCCTGTGGCTCTGGGCGTCCTCAAACGCTCGCGGAGAGAAGGCGTTGCCTGGGAAGGAGCTGAACTGAGTTTTTTCTGTCACTCGGCCTGTCTGCGCAGATAATCTTTTCTCGCTCCTTGAAAATTCTCCGAAATAAAACCTTATCCAAAATTTGATATCTTCCTTAGATGTGAACACGTCTCTAAAAGTACAGCCACCTTCCCAATCTAAACTCCGAGCAACTAGAAAAAGATAACAACTGTGTGCAATGTTTTGACTATAGATTGTGGTCACATTGCCTCATAACAAACACATCTGTTGTTCTCATTTTCACTTTCTCCATCTTTCCTCCCTCATCTTATCGTCACTAAATCTTGATGGTCTTTAAAACTCCTAGAATCGAGCACTTCCTCTCCATTTTTGCTATCACAAAAACCCAACATCATTACTCACCCGGACAACGATCTCCCAACGTTTTCTGGCTTTTGATCTCTTCCCCCTCAAATTCTGTTTTCTTCCTAATAAACAAAGTTGGTCCTACAATTTTTCTGCTTAAAAGTTTCTCCTAGTCCAGTTGCTGACAGGATACATACACACTCTTTAAAAAGCATCAACATGATTTCTCAATTTCTCTCTAGCTACTCCCAATCCGGTGAAAAATTGTACCTTTGCAATGAATGCAGTGGGCTGAACCCCAAATGTTTCATGGGTTCTGTTTGTTCCACCCATATACTTGCATTACCTACCAACAATAATCATTCAAAGGTACTGGCTATGTGAGAGTTTTTCTAACACCACCACTATCTCCCTATCGCCTTCCTCTTTCCCCACCCTCCAAAACCACTCAACTGATACATTTGCTAAGTACTTGCTATACATTTGCTAAGTACTCTGGTATATAATACCAGGGTAAGTATTAACACCTATATTACTTAAGCTATCTGTTTTACTAAATTATGCACTAAATGCTTGGTATCCCCAACACTTATAACAGGCGTTCAATAAATGTTTGTTGAATGAATGTTCAATTAATATCCATGGCGAGGCTCAGTGGCTCACGCCTGAGAGGCCAAGGTAGGTGGACCCTCTGAAGTCAGGGGCTCGAGACCAGCTTGGCCAACATGGTGAAACCCCGTCTCTACTAAAAATACAAAAATTAGCTGGACGTGGTGGCAGGTGTCTGTAATCCCAGCTATTCAAGAGGCTGAGGCAGGAGAATTGCTTGAACTCAGTAGGTGGAGGTTGCAGTGAGCCAAGATCATGCCACTGCACTTCAGCTTGGGCGACAGAGCAAGACACCATAATAAATAAATAAATAAATAAATACACCTGGCGCGGTGGCTCACGCCTGTAATCCCGGCATTTTGGAAGGTCGAGGTGAGTGGATCACCTGAAGTCAGGAGGTCAAGACTAGCCTGGCCAACATGACAAAAGCTCATATCTACTAAAAATACAAAAATTAGCTAGGCATGGTGATGCACGCCTGTAATCCTAGCTGCTCCAGAGGCTGAGGCAGGAGAACTGCTTGAACACAGGAGGTGGAGATTGCAGTGAGCCAAGATCGCTCCACTGCTCTCCAGCCTGCAAGATGGGAGCGAGACTCCATCTCAGAAAAAAAAATACATAAATAAAATAAAAATAAAAAATTAATAGCCATTTAATAATGTATCCAGTCAATTTTTAATAAACATGTACAATATTCCAAACACTGTCTGGGGTATTAAGAATATAAAGAAAAATTAGCCACAGCCCTGATTTCAAAATAATTGTAATGAAATGAAGGGAACCACACATGTAAAACAAATGCAATAAAATGTTACGGAGGCAAAGAGTTTTTAAAAAATATTTTGCATAGGAGTTATGAAGGAGGAAAGATAAATTCTGACTAAGGGAAAAAGGAAGTAGTCAGAAAAAGTTTCATATAGAGAACGAGTTTTGACTTGCCTTCAAAGAAACCCAGGTGTTCACCAGGTGGACAGGATGGGGAGGAAGATTCCTAGCAGTCCAGGCACAGAGTGCAGCATAAACAAAGTCCTAGAGGCATAAGACAATACAACATGTTCTCTGGAACTACAGTTTACTATAGCTGGAGTGCATTGTATGAAAAAAGGCACAAGAAGAAATAGAAGCAAGAAATTAGAAAAGAAAGAAATGGACTAGATCAGCAAGAGTCTTGTTTTCCATTCTAAATAGTAGCAGCCAGTGGGGAACTATTAATGTATTTTGGGATATGGAAACAATTTGTTCACATCTGGCTTTTAGAAAAAAAAGATTCTAGTTGAGACATGGAAAATAATTTGAAATGGAGCAATTTAGGGCAGAGAGAGCAGTTAAGAAAATAACAGTATCAGCAGCAATTCTGGGTGAGAGAGTTGAGAGCATAGCAAGCAGACAGACAGAGTGAGGAATGTGAAGAGCTGTTAAGAATATAGAGTCAAAGGGCTTGCTTATTAGTTTTGCAGAGAGGTTGACATGAAAGGAAAATTTCAGGTTAGTACCCGGCTTTCTGACTGGTAAATGCCAGTCACTGAGATTTGAAAAACCATAAGAGAAGCAGACTGGGCAATAAATACACAGTTCAGCGGGGACATGTTTTTATTTGTTTGTTTCCTTATGGTAAGATAAGCATAACATAAGTCACCATCTTAACCATTGTAAAACATGCAGTTTGGAGGCTTTAAGTACATTCACGTTGTTATATAATCAATCTCTGAACTTTTTGTCTCACAAAACTGAAACTCTGCACCCATTAAATAACAACTCCTCCATTTCCCCTCTCCCCAACCCATTCTACTTCCATTCTACTTTGTTTCTGAGTTGACTACTCTAGTTGTTGGCAATGTAGTAGTTGACTACTCTAAATAGCTCATATAAGTGGGACAATACAGTATTTGTTTTGTTGTGATTGACTTACTTCACTTAGCATAAAGTCCTCCAAGTTCATCTATATTGTGACGTGCATCAGAATTTTCTTTTTGAAGCTGAATAATATTCCATTGTATGTTACACCATTTTGTTTATCCATTCATCTGCCTATGGACATTTGGTCTACTTCCACCTTTCAGCTATTGTGTATAAAGCCACTCTGAACATGCCCAGAAGAGTCATAAACTCGGTAGAACCCAGTAGGTAAACAGGCCAACGATAGACCCAAGTTCACATGTTGAACCAGTGAAGAACATATTCCTACATGTTTGTATCCTTGTCAGCACAAAAATTGTTTTAAGAAGCTTAAGTTGAATAACTTGATGGATGACAGTCCTTGCTCTTCAATTTAAACTTAAGTCAGTGACTAGTTACTAGCATCTGCATTAACCCTGATGTCAAAATCACTTTTTGTTTCTACCCCTTGCATCTCATGCTGAACCATATCTTCATGAGACGAGTCTGAGTGAATTAATACTTCATCTTCTCTGAAAGGAAAAGGCACTCATGAAGTCAGGGTTGAGTACTGTGTCAGCAACTGCTAGTGGTTGCCTCAATATTTATTCGTCTCTTCTTCTGTAGTAATAGGTTTCTTCTGAACACATAGACACACAGCTAATGACTACTTTTCCAAGCCTCTTGCAGCTAGCTATGGACACATGATGAGACACAGGTGAATAAGATGGTTGGAAGTGACATATACAAATTTCAAGTCATTTCCTAATGGTGTATGCTTTTCTTTCCCTACAAATCTTGCTTTCAGTTATTTTGTACATGTACCTAGAATGGAATTTTTGGATCATATGGAAATTTTCTTTTTAACTTCTTGACAGACTTCAGTTTCTGTTTTGTTTTGTTTTTTACAGAGGCTGCAACATTTTATATTCCTACTAACAATGCACAAGGGTTCAGATATCTCCACATCTGGACTTGTTATTGCCAACACTTGATATTTCCTGGATGTTTTGATAATGGCCATCCTAATATGTGTCACGACATGTTTTAAATATACTTGTGGGACATCTGGGCAGAAATATCTAGCATGCTGTTGGATGTATGATTTCAGAATAAGCACAGAGACTGTCTTAGTTTGGGGTGTGATAACAAAAATACTCTAGACTGGGTGATGTAAACAAAGTTTATTTCTCACTCTTCTGGAGACTGGGAAGTCCAGGATCAAGGTGCTCACCTGATTCATTTCTAGTGAAAGATCTCTGGCTCACAGATGGCTGTCCATCTTTGGCTGTATTTTCACTTGGTGAAGAGCAGACAGAGAGGAAGCAAGCCCTCCTGTCTCTTCTTCTGAGGGCTCAAACCCCTCTCCATTAGGGAGGACCTAATTACCTCACAACGTCCCCACTTCCAAACACCATCACATTGAGGATTAAGGTTTTAGCATATGAACTTTGGAGGAACACAAACATTTAGAGTACGGCAGTGATATGAGGGAAGACACTAAAAGATGTGACAAACAATGACTAAGAATGAGGTGATATAGAGAACGCCTAAAAGCTGTGCAATCCAGAGCCTGTATAGCCACATGCAACTGGAGGGACTGACTGCAAGACCATGAAGAAGGTTGTAGCTCATGTGGTAGGAAGTTTAAATTTCACTTCATATTTAAGAGAAGGCCATGGAAGAGTTTTGTGTTCCTGGAATTTCAGTGTGGCAGTGCAGATGGAAAGAAGTAGACAGATTTGGGATACGTTTTAACAAGAAGCACTAACAGATCTTGCTAATGATTTGCATAATTGTGAGAAGAGTAGATGTGCAAGAGAGAAAAATCAAGGATAATTCTTTGATTTTTGGCTAAAACAACTAGTTAAATGATGGTTACTGATACTAAGATGAAGAAATCTTTAAGAGTATGGGAGTGGGACAAGATTCCCAGACTGGACTCTCCTATATGGGAGAGAAATTCACAAATTGTCTTTTGGACATAAGTTTGAAAGGCCTATCCAATATCCAAGAGAGGCATCAAGTGAAGCATTTGAGTCTGATCGAGTGTACTGAGCTCAAAGAGAGGTTAAGACTGCAGAGAGAAACATGGATGTCATTGGTTCTCAACGACATGACATCAAAAGTAATGGAGGCCAGGCGCAGGGCTCACACCTGTAATCTCAGCATTTTGGGATGCTGAGGTGGGTAGAACACTTAAGGTCAGGAGTTCGAGACCAGCCTGCACAACATGCTGAAATCTCATCTCTACTAAAAATACAAAAATTAGCACGGCCTGGTGGTTTGTGCCTGTAATCCCAGCTACTGGGGAGGCTGAGGGAGGAGAATTGCTTGAACCTGAGAAGTGGAGGTTGCAGTGAGGTGAGATAGTGCCACTGCACTCCAGCCTGGGCAACAGTGCAAGACTATCTCAATAACTAACCAACTAACTAACTAAATAAATAAATGTCACGGAGCTTGAGGAAATGACTTGGGAGACAGGGTAGACAGAAAAGAGAGGAGAGCTCAGGGCAAAGGCACTTCTTCTTTCAGATGTTATGGCAGAGTAAAATGAATTCCTATTAAAATGACAACCTTAAGACTGTCATATTTATTTTACTAAAAAGTGATTTGTATTTCTCTGCTTAAAATGGTCAGCTATTATTTCCCTTCTGATCCAAAATCCAACATATCTCTCTTCACCTCATTTCTAGGTCATCCATATGCATAACAGCTTAAGGATTTACTGAGCACTTTGCATGTACTTCACGCTGTAAGAGAGGACCTGGCAAATACAGAAATAAAATGATTTCATTCTCACCCTTAAAAAGAATGTGTGAAGTTTACTGACAGCACAGCCATGAATAGGAAATAATACAATTCTCCAGAAACAACTAGCAATAGAAAATTTATTTTTTTCTTTTTTTATGAGCTAAACTTAGGACTGGGTAAAGTTTATTGTTAAAAGATGTCAGGATGCAGAGGAAGATGGCTAATTGGGGTTTAATTTATCATGGAAGTACATAGAGATGAAGGAAACTCTACACATGTACATTTACTCTGCTTGTTCAAAGAAGAAATGGCCTAAACAACACATTAACTGCTTGCCAATAACTTGTCAAATGCTTTGACTTTTTTTTTTGTGGGGGGCGGGGACAAAGTCTTAATCTGTCACCCAGGCTGGAGTGCAGTGGTGTGATCTTGGCTCTCTGCAACCACTTCCTCCTGGGTTCAAGTGATTCTTCTGCCTCAGCCTCCTGAGTACTTGGAATCACAGGTGTGTGCCACCACACCCAGCTAATTTTTGTATTTTTAGTAGAGACAGTGTTTCATCATGTTGACCATACTGGTCTTCAGCTCCTGACCTCAGGTGATCCACCTGCCTTGGCCTCCCAAAGTGCTAGGATTACAAACATAAGCCACCATGCCTGGCCAGATGCTTTGACATTCGAAACCTCAATTTAGCTTTGTTATCCTTCCCCAATATGGGTACAAAATGTTATTTTAACATACCAATTTACTGCTGAGGAAACTTAAGAACATTGAGAATTTAAAAACATTAAAATTTAAGTGACAGAAAAGAGCACAGTTGGGCCTAAATGTCATATGCATGCCACACACATTTATATGTACTTGCTATATATACTGGATACTGAGCAAATGATTTTTATTTGATCTCCAACTCTTGTCATCATTTAATTCATCATCACCTACTAAACACTCTCAATGCTTCTCAGAGATAGGTACATTAAAATATATTTTTTATTTTTTTTGCTAGAAACCAACAGACTACAAAACAACAATAAAATGGAAAATAAATAGAATATATGAAGCATTGTAGTTTGATAAGGTCATAATATAAGAAATGGAAGGAGGAATATATAATATCTTTAAACTATCTACTTTTGATGTCTCCCTTGGTGAGTAGGGAGAGAAAGACACCTTTAACTCAGAAAACAAGAAACTCAGTTTAGAAGCAAGGAAGAAGAGGTCTTTTCAGAGTGGTTATTAGTGATTTATATGCTTCTCTGCTTGCGGACACCTTCATTTTCAAAGCTTAGCTCAAATGCTACCTCTGCCACGAAAGCGATTCTAATGCATCAAGCATGATTCATCATTTCTTCAGTTCTGTTTAAGCAGTGCCTTGAAAGTCAGCTGAAAAAAGAAAAAGGTCGCTTAACAACAGGCAATTGGTTTTCTCATGAAACCAATTAAATCAGTAGAAAGATAAATAGACAGGACTGTGAGTGATTGCCTTACGATACTCACAGTCTATAAAACTTCATTCTGTTACTTTCAACAGTGACCAAGAAGATTTACTTAGTGTTAAGTCCTATACTAGGAATGGAAGTGATAGCTATGGGATCTCCTGTTTGAAGGTGGACTTGGTCTAGTGAAGAGTCTGAGGAAAACAGAAATGTAGTCAAATAATTACTATACAGTGTGATAGGCACATGGAATAGAAAGCAGAAGTGGCGAGTTGCTCTTTCCCACTCAGCCCCCCATATACCTCTGACCTCATCTACATTTTCTCCCTCACTCACTATACTCTAGCTACATTTTGGGTTTCTTGAACATTCCAAGTATGCTTCTGCCTCAGGGTTTTTGCATTTCTTATTCCTCTGCCTGAGTCTATTCACCCTGAAATCCATGGGGCTTATGTCCTATCTCCATTCAGGTCTTTTACATTACTTCATCAGAGTAGCTTTCCCTGACCACTTTGTATAAAATCACACCCCATCACTTCATTTTATATTGCTTACTCTTTTAATAATTCTTACCATCATGACATTTCATACATTCATATGTTATTATCTGACTCTTTTATTAGAATCAAAGCTCCATAAAAGGAAGGACTTTGTTTTATTCACTAGTGAATCTACATAGCTGGAAGAGTTCCTGGCAAAACAAATGGGAAGAGATAAAATGGGATTCAGGAAAGATTTCACAGAGGTGATTATACCCTCATACCCTCAGAGAGTTTAGAAAGATGCAAAAGATTATCCTCAAAAGATAAGGGAGCTGGGAATAGCAGGTAGAAGCATGTTCAAAGGTAAGAAAGATTAAAACCATATGGTTTGTTCAACTAATGTGAGATGGTGTGATGTTGGTTGGCTGTAAACCTTTCATTTGTGCTTCCATTATGGTACATTCACCTTTTCTCTTGGTAGAAGAGTTGTTTACCACCCCTGTGTCTTTCTCAATAACTTGAGAGCTCTTTAAGGGCTAGGACTCTTTCACTCCTGTCTTCATTTTCCAATTTCTTAAATAGCAGATATTCTGTAAGTGCTAAATAAATAAATGATGAAACAATATTTATTCATTAAAGCAAGAAAACCCATTTATTTGTTCAATTAAAATGGATTTCTTTCTATTGACAAGTGAATGCCCTGTTTGTAAACTTTAGAACCGAAAGGGACCTTAGAGATAATCTAATTTGGCCCTTCCATTTCATATATAGATGAGAAAACTGAAGGATAGAAAGGTTGACTGCCTATGTAAGCTGCTAGGTATAAGGAAGAACTGAGGCCAGGCCTGGAGGCTCATACCTGTAATCCCAGCACTGTGGGAGGCCTTGGTAGAAGGACTGCTAGAGATAACGAGTTCCAGACAAGACTGGGTAACATGGTGAGACATTGTCTCTACAAAAAAAAATGAAAAAATTAGCTGGTGTGGTGGCACCTGCTTCTCTGTAGTCCCAGGTACTCAGGAGGCTGAAGTGGGAGGACTGCTTGAGCCTGGGAGGTCAAGGCTACAGTGACCAGTGATCCTGCCACTGCACTCCAGTCTGGGTTACAGAGCAACACAATTTCAAAAGAAAAAGAAAACAGGCCGAGCGTGTAGTGGTTCATGTCTGTAATCCCAGCATTTTGGGAGGTTGAGGTGGGCAGATCATCTGATGTCAGGAGTTTGAAACCAGCTCGGCCAAATGGTGAAACCCCTTCTCTACTAAAAATACAAAAATTAGCCGGGTATGGTGGCACATGCCTTTAATTCCAGCTACTTGGAAGGCTGAGGCAGGAGAATCGCTTGAGCCCAGGAGGCGGAGGTTGCAGTGAGCAGAGATCGCACCACTGTACTCCAGCCTGAACAACAGAGCCAGACTACCTCAGATGACTGAATAAATAAGAAACAAAAAAAACTCTGGAGCTCTAGTTTGAACCATGGTGTGCCATCTTTTCACTGGAAGATGTGCTTTCAGAAGTGGCCTGAACATTTGGTTTACCTATTAAAATAAAAACGGTACATTTTTATGATCTATCTTTGAGAAACGTACAAATCAGCAAGGAGCTGTGTGGATCTCCATTTTTTTTTTTTTTTTGCTGTAGTTAAAAGTGTAAAGTCGAAAGCAATCTGGGTGTATAGCAATAGAGAAATAGCCATAGTCACTCTGTGATAGCCATATATGCAGTTTTATGAAGCACTTACATTTTGATAAATACTAAAATGAAAAAGATGTTTAAAAAAAAGGGAAGTCATAGGATGATGCTATACTATTTAAGACTTGTCAGTCTCAGGTTCTCGCACCAAAACAGCACAACGCACGAAGTAAGTAGGAAATTTCAGAATGATGAACTGCAAACAGGTTATGCATCTGTAGTAAGGGCTTCCTCTGCAAAGAAGGGTAGAGGAATGAGGCGGTCTTTGACCTTAACTGTAATTTATGGTTTTTAACAAGGAGGATGCATTCTTCATCTACTAGTTTTGCTTTTGTTGACTGTGAAAATCAATTTTTCAAGAAATAGTACGGATTATGATTTCTTCTCTATTCAGTTAGGAAAGGGAGTGACAGGTAACGATTCTGTTTCAAGGCTGATTAAAGAATAAAAGAGGGCCTTTCAGAAGATTAAAAAATAAAGAAATAAAAGGTTGAGGAGAAAAAGCACGAAGAGTACAAGGAAACAATGGTGTACTCGCCAGCAATGGCAATACGGGTTATTAGAGGGTAGGATGGGGGCGGGGAAGCCTGGCCGACGCAGGACGCCACTGGCGGAAGCCAAGCTAAAAAGCGAAGCGGGATCCTGGAGGGGCGGGGACCCACCTCAGCGCGCACGCGCAACCAGGCCCAGGTGGCCGCCGCCGCGGAAGCGAAGCCACCTAGAGACGCCGCGCCGATTGGGTTTGCTGCGCATGCGCAGGCGGACCTCCTCAGGAGTCTTCATCTTTGCCGCCTCAGCAGCCTTCCTGGGATTTGAGTCTCGCGCTTTCTTCGTTCGCTCGCTGGCGCGTTCGCGCCTTTCTCGCGCCCCGGGGCAGCGAGGCTGGGGAAGGGTTGGAGGGGGCTGTTGATCGCCGCGTTTAAGTTGCGCTCGGGGCGGCCATGTCGGCCGGCGAGGTCGAGCGCCTAGTGTCGGAGCTGAGCGGCGGGACCGGAGGGGATGAGGAGGAAGAGTGGCTCTATGGCGGTACGGAACTTCCTGTCCCTGTCTCTTTCTCGGGTTCTCTCAGACCTCCCCTCTCGGCCCGCAAACGGCCGGCGTCCCGGGTCCCTCGCGCAGCCGCTTCAGGCCTCTGGTTGGGAGCCCTGTCCGGCCTGACTTAGGCCGAGGTTGGCGTGCGCGTGTCCCCTGCCCCCGCGGCCACCTCCCGCCAGGCCCACGCCCACCACGCTCCCCCACCCTGCGGCGGCCGGGCCGGGCTAGGGGGCTGTGACGGGTCCCGGCCCACAGTTTCGCCTTGCTCTCCTCCGCGGTGTCTCGGCCGCCTCGCTGCCGCGCTCTTTACCCTTGTTTTTTCTATCGATTCTGAAGTGGTGTTTTTTTGTGTCTCTTCTTGCCCGTGGCCTTAGGGTGCCCTCCTGTCTCTTCTTTCAGAAACAGTCATTCTGTAATAATAGCTAAATAAAGTTAATGCTGTACAACTAACGTCTTGTTTCTTGATGGTCAGTTTGTATGGAATGCACCTGCAAGGGTACCTCCTTGTCTGAAAGTCGTGCTTTAAAAATAATTAATTAAGAGAGAGAGAGAGAGAAAGATGGCCCATAAAGAAAACCCTGAATGTCTCCTGTATGAAGGTGAAATTTTTCTTTTTTAAGAGACTGCCGTTTAACCTACATCATAGAAGTATCTCATGACCCTTCGGCTTATAGTTTTCAGTGTCATCTCATGTATTGCTTTTTCTCAAAATTAATGCATTATGCACTTCTCTCTTGAAAGGTACTTGTTTGACATCTCGTTTTTAATTTTAAGTCGCAATCCCTTGTCTGTTACACCAGATTTGAAAGTTAATGTTTGTTCCTTGCCTAAAACATAAATTCTTGATTGTCTTTACAATAGAATAGTAAAAGTGCACGTTGGGCACCATGCAGGTCCTTGATGATGTAACTTTGATAAACTTGTAAAAAAACAATTCGTTATCTTTGGTGGCAAGATTTAGCATTAGTTACTACCCTTTGAAATGTGAATGTGTAGGATTTCTTTTACAAAGATTTGAAAATCTTTAGTACCTCTTTAAGCTTGTTTTTATAGCAGTAAAGTCTGATTTTTTTTTTTCCATAAAAGACGTATCTTGTTAAATAATTATAAGGTGATCTAACTTTGGATGTGCTTATAGGCCCATGGGACGTGCATGTGCACAGTGATTTGGCAAAGGACCTAGGTTAGTGCTTGTGATGATCACTTCAGATTTTCCTAATACTAGTTTCTTTAAGAGTGGTATCTTTATTTTGTTTGTTTATTTATTTATTTGTTTATTTTACTTGGTAGATGAAAATGAAGTTGAAAGGCCAGAAGAAGAAAATGCCAGGTTAGTGAAATTTTCTGATGATGCTTATACAGATCATGTGATACAATAGGGATGTGAGTTGTCAAAGTTATTTCCTTATAATCATAGGCTTAATTATAACACTGACTTACAACATTTTGGAGGACGTTGAATCTTTTAAGGATTATTCCAGTTTCAGCACCGCATCTTATGCCAGTTCTATTTGTTGGTAGTTTACAGGACAAACTTTATGAACTCAGGATTTGACTGATTTTACACTATTAAGTAACTTGTTACTCTTAAATGAATTCAGTAGTGAAGTATACAGTATAATCATTAAGCTTCTAATAAAAATATTTTAACTTATTTGAAAATGTTTTTAAGTAAATGAACCCCCAAATGACTGCTTTTTCAATTTGTTAACATTTTTGATGGGATAATGGCACTTTGGTTATAATTTCAATGCTATATATTTATTTACATTCAAATATAATTAGCTGATTTGTTATAAGGTTGATTTCCTTTGTTAGATTATTAGAAAGATGTAAGTATTCATTTATAGAACATATACAGAGAGTCAGAATGTTACCCTGAATTTCAAAAAACAACCCATGCAAAGAAGTATATGGAGATGCTGACTTGACCCCCACCATGTGTGTTAGTGTCTGTAATGGAGGGAGAGATAGTTAAAAGATTCTAAAGAATATTTGGGTTTAAAAAGTGGAAGACATGCCACTTCAAACCCAGTAGGCTGTAATCAAAAAGATAAAACAGGTGTTGATGTGGATATGGAGAAAAAAAATCCCTCATATACTGCTGGTTGAATCGTAAAATGGTGCAGCTACTTTGAAGAACAGCCTGACCATTTTCTCAAGTGGTGAAACATGGAGTTACCATATGAGCCCTCCACCAAGAGAAATGAAAAGATATATTCACAAAAAAACTCGTATGTGAATATTCATAGCAGCATTATTCTTAATAGTAAATGTGAAAGACCTCGCACCTGTATCAACTGAGGAAAGGACAGATTAAATGTGTTATATCCATACAGTGGAATATTATTTGGTAGGGAAAATAAAATGAAGTACTGTTAGGTGTTCCAACATGGATGAACCTTGCAAAGGTGCTAAGCAAAAGACAATCCATAGAGACAGATTAGTGGTTGCTAAAAGAGTTGGGTAATTGCTAATATATGCAAAGTTCATTTTTGGAGTGATGCATACATTCTCGCATTAGATAATTGTGGTTGTTGGACTCTGTGAACATTAAAATTCAACTGTCCTGTTTGAATGGATAGATTGTGTAATATGTGAATTGCATCTCAGTAAGTTGTTTAAACAAAAAAATTGATAGAGGGAAAAAGTGAGAAATGGAAGAAGAAATGGCTTACGAGGAGCTGAAATTACTGTTCAACTTCCTCACCCAAAAAATCCCCTGTAGTCTTTTCACTCATTGGTATATTATATGAAATGTTATTTCATTTTGAAATTTATGTATTCAATTCAGTTCCTAATTCTAATCTCAATCACAAAATAGTTAATCAGAAAGTTATTAAATATTTCTTTATACCCTTTCCTTCAGTTGGTCAAGCAGTTAATTACAGGGTATAAATTTACAATCAAATATAATTCTTTATATGATAATCTTTATCCCATTGATTTTTATCTTTATTGGTTACAATTTTAAAAGCTTACTTTCTGATGAAACATTCTTTAATTTTAATTCCCCAATACACAACTTGCTAAAATTTATTGGAGAGAGGCCTTTTACATTCCCTGAGTGTCACTGTCAACATAACTTTATATTCCTTTTCAGATCATTTGGGGAGCAGTTGAGTTGATTTCATCCTATGGGGAAAAAACAACTTCCTTTACAATGTTATTTTTCTAGAAAAAGCTTATAATTTTATCGTGTTTCTAACCTTTTAATGGTAATAGAAAATTAAAACTTCAATAGTAGGCCTATTGAAGAAAGGAGCTCTGCCAAACCTACTGCTATCTGGTTTGGTACATCATTGCATTGCTCTACCTAGGTTCCTGCTATTAGAATTTGCCCCAGTTTCCTGCTGACTGGCTCATTGCAGAGGCTGCTGTTTTTCTTAACCATTGCATTGCTGTCTCCAATTGTGTTATGTCTATCCAAGTTTTGGCTAAAAAAAGGATACTGTTTTGTGACATATAGAAAGCAAATGGGACTTGTTTCTGGCTACCTAGAAGCTTATTTCAGCAGGAGGAAAATTGTACTGAACACTTATAGCTGCGTATTTGTTTTTTTTGAAGGAAGCAGGATAATGAAAGTTTAACAGTTATGTTTTCACTTTTTATCTTTCATTTTGCTTTGTTGGGTGATTGTGTTGTAAAATGCCACTGTAAAGATTAAATTGATTTATGTAGAAACTACCTGACAGAAAGTGAAGTTTAGAAGAGATTAGTAGAAATCTAATGTAAAGTGCTCTGAACTGTGTCAACATCTGGACATTTTTTTTAAGAATGCTACTAAATAACTCAGAAAGTTGAGCCAAATCAGCTACTTGCTTTGTACTTCAGTTTTCTTATCTGTAAAATGAGGTGATGGTTAATTCCCACTGTTGAAATTATGATTACTAACAAATTTAAGAAACCAATTACACCATGGTACCGTTTTGCTGATAAATGACCATATGCTTGAGTTTCATGAGAACGTGAATGTTTTATTGTTACATATCAGTTTTGTTATGAAAGGACAAGTTCAAGTATTAACTGACCTTAAAAAAGTAATTAGTTTTGCCGGGCGCGGTGGCTCACGCCTATAATCCCAGAACTTTGGGAGGCTGAGGCAGGTGGATCATGAGGTCAAGAGATCGAGACCATCCTGGTCAACAAGGTGAAACCCTATCTCTACTAAAAATACAAAAATTAGCTGGGCATGGTGGTGCGGACCTGTAGTCCCAGCTACTCGGGAGGCTGCGGCAGTAGAATTGCTTGAACCCAGGAGGCGGAGGTTGCGGTGAGCCGAGATCGCGCCATTGCACTCCAGCCTGGGTAACAAGAGCAAAACTCTGTCTCAAAAAAAAAAAAAAAAAGGTAATTAGTTTTAACATTCAGGAGAATTAGCTCCTTATTAATATCAAATTGGAGAACAGTCTTGAATGAAGATACTTTTTTTTTAGTCTTAAATTTTTTTGTTTTATTCAACAAAGGACATATCTCTGATAAGATTGATAAAACAGAGAACCAAGAAGAAGCATGTTTATGTTAACTGAATACTGAGGTCGTTAATGTGATTATACCACCAATCTTGAGTTCTTGCGCACCAAGGAAAAGAGGAAACTATACTACATAGGTCTAGGCAGTTACAGTAGTAGTAGCTGGTATACAGTGGATGTTCAGTAAAGATTTAGGATAATGAAAATTGATTATGTTTGTCATATGTTTTTAAAATGTGTAAAAAGCTTGAGTTAGAGCCTACTATCAAATTGTAAATCATTAATAAATTATGAAGGCATTTGCATTCTACTTAAAATATTCAGTACTTGTTTTATGCAAGTTACAAGAAATAACAGGGAATAAGACAGTCAAATTTTACTATTACTGTCTCCATAGAAATAATTTTAGGAACCTTATCAGACGTAGCTTAGAAATACCAATATAATCTATCTCTACTTCTGAAAAGTAATGCCTGACATGTATACTTATTGTTGTTTGTAGTGCTAATCCTCCATCTGGAATTGAAGATGAAACTGCTGAAAATGGTGTACCAAAACCGGTAACATAAGGCTTTGAAATTCAGTTACTTTCCTGATTCAAATTTTTATCAGTCACTTCACAGTTTATTTAGAAAGCAAGCTAGCATTTTATATCACCTTCAGCATTCTATGTTATCTGGCCCTTTCTTACATCTACTTCATCTGGTCCCATCTAAAACATGTATAGGAATTAGCAAGGAGGAGAAGAAAGACTTCAGAGGACAAATAGCATATGCAAAGACTTGATGCTTATTGCTTTCAAGGAACTGAATGCTTTTAAATCTATCAAATATAGTGAGTCTGGTGTTCTGAGCAAATTTTGAGTCCCACAACCTTTGAATGTTACAATTTTTTACAGTGCTTTTTAACGTGTGTGACAGTCCCTGACCCTGTCAGATTGATACTTTGCAAGGTGAACATATCATTGGTCCTATGAATATTTGTACATTTTAAGTTATTGTTATGCAAATTTGAAGTTGTATACAAAAAAGTATTTTGCCTGTGTGATCTACTTATTTACTATGATGTGACTAAGCACAAAATAGCCTTTGAAAGCCAATGTAAAATCTTCATAAATGTAGAATTTGCATGTAGGGTCTCTTCTGGGTGTGCATGAATACCAAGAATAATTGAGCTTCTGCTTAACTATTTGGTCCTTTTTATGTTTTGGGTTTTTTTTTAAAATTTAATTCTTAGTTTATTTGGTACTTTTTATTTGTGACTCTGAATCTTAAAATTGTTTTCCTCTTAGATTCTTGTTTCTAAGAATTCCTCAAATACTTAATTTTTATAATTTTATCTTGGAGATAACTTAGTAAATTGCTTTAAATCCTTTTTGCAAGAGAGGCAGATATGATAGTTAAAAAAAAAAAAAAATGGGGTGATCTTTACCAAAAGAAGATGATTCCAAAAAAAGATTTTATTTCTTTATTTATAGTCTTGGCCTTCTTATCATGTAGAACATCAAAATTATGAGTTGAAATAGGTGGCAGCTTATAACTTTTCTTTTTAAACTGTATCTCAAAAATATAGAGTGGGGCTGGGCACAAAGGCTCACACCTGTAATCCCAGCACTTTGTGAGGCCGAGGCTGGTGGATCACCTGAGGTCAGGAGTTCAAGACCAGTCTGGCCAGCATGGCGGAACCCTGTCTCTACTAAAAATACAGAAATTAGTTGGGTATGCTGGCATGCGCCTGTAGTCCCAGCTAGTCTGGAGGCTGAGACAGGAGAATCACTTGAACCTAGGAGGCGGAGGTTGCTGTAAGCCGAGATCATGCCATTGCACTTAAGCCTGGGTGACAAAGTGACACTCTGTCTCAAGAAAGAAGAAAAAAAAAAGCCAGGGTGGTTATTTTTTAGTTATTAGTATTAGATGTTGAAATGGATTATTGAATGTATTTTCTAATTTGTTTATGTTCATGTAGAAAGTGACTGAGACTGAAGATGATAGTGATAGTGACAGTGATGATGATGAAGATGATGTTCATGTCACTATAGGAGACATTAAAACAGGAGCACCACAGTATGGGTAAGTTATTTTTTAGTAAGTAGCAATTGTGTAACTGCTATATAGCAAAGGTAGTGTGCCTATATCAAACTCTCAGTGGTTGATTCCATTGTTTTTACATTTTCCTATTTTAACATAAAAGAGCTCTTGTTAAAGTGTCATCCTGAAGATACTTCTTTACTAAAATAAAGTTAACTAATTAGGCAAAGGTACATGGAAGCAGCAGTTTTTTTATCCTGAATTTAAAGTGTTTTTATAAAAGAATTGAGCACTAGGCCAGATGTGGTAGTTCATGCCTATAATCTCAGTACTTTGGGAAGCTGAGGTGGGCGAATCACCTGAGGTCAGGAGTTCGAGACCAGCCTGACCAGCGTGGTGAAACTGTCTCTACTAAAAATGCAAAAATTATCCAGACATGGTGGTGGGCACCTGTAATCTCAGCTACTCTGGAGGCTGAGGCAAGAGAATCACTTTAACTCGGGAGGCAGAGATTGCAGTGAGTCCAGCTGGTGCCACTGCATTCCAGCCTGGGTGACAGGGTGAGACTCTGTCTCAAGAAAAAGAAAAGAATTGTGTGCTATAAAATCTTTGGTTAGAATTAGAAATCCTTAAATTGTAATTTATATCTGTACTTATTATAACTTCACTTTATTACTTATCCAAACCTGAGTTTAGGTTTTAATTTTCTGTTGTTTAATAAAAACAATATCAAAAGTATTTCTTTTCATTCTTAATAGTTTTTTCAGGTTTTTAATTCTCCTATAGGCACTTTAGACCAATGTTTGTCTCAACTTTTATATTCTATAAACTGGACAAAGTGAATGGACTGTCATTGACTCATTGAGCACATAAAGAATCTTACAGAAGATTGGAAGGGAAAGGCATTGAAGTACGAATTGGGATTCAGTTATGATAGAATAAGAGTCAATGTTTTTTATTTTTCAAATTGGCTGTATAATGTGATTATTATAGCTTATGCATTGGAAACAAAATAAGTTCATTAATTTCACTAGTTCTGCATTATGCAAAAGGAACACTTATAAAATTGTAACAATTGTATGTTCATTAACTACTATATATAAAATTATTTGTATTTATAAGTTATAGAACAATTTGAAGCAAATGACAATTTTTTTGGATTGTGAATGGGACTATTTTTTTGGTAGAAATTGCACTCAAATATTAAATGTACATGGACTTTCATAGTAGCTTACTGAGCTTTATTTCTTATAGCGATTTTCAGTTTTATGCATTGTAATTATGTTTATACATATTTACTACCTTTAGACTCTTTAGATTCCTATAGAGTAGAAACTGTTATATTCAAAACCCTTCAAAAAGCAAGAAACCGTGATTTATGAAGTTTTATCTTTCTCACATTGCCTTAAATATAGTAAGTGTTCAGTAAATGTTTATTAACTAAATAAATTGAATGTTATTTAGTTACAGTTGTTTCTGAAGGTTTTTTCCCCTTAGACATTTGATTATGAAAATTTCCAAATGCTCACAAAAGTTGAAGGAATTGACCTGTGAATGCTCATTTACCCATAATCAGATTAAACAATCTACATTTTGCTTTATTTGCTTGAACTCATATTCCTGTATCCATGCCTTTAACCATTTATCTGTTGATTTTTTTTTATGCATTTTGAAAGTAAATTACAAGTGTTTGTGAAGAGTGTAAATTTGTTTTACCTCTGTATTTCAAGATATATCCCTTGAAAACAAAGTTAGTGCGAAGATGAAATTTGATAAACATTTACTATGCACAGCATTTTCAGAAGCAAATTTAAAGAACACACTGTGTTCAAGGAACAGTACTGGATTGATTTATTGTAAATTGTTAGGAAATACAAAATAGCCTTTTTTATTTTAGGTAACATGCCTTTATTACAAAATTCATTTTATATGAAAGTAAAGTGTGAAGTTTTAAGCTAGTCTTAAAGTAGGAATAATTATCTTGGAAAGTAGTTTGTTACCTATTTCTGAGATTCATCTATTTATGTACTCAGTAAATTTTTTTTTTTTTTGAGATGGAGTTTTGCTCTTGTTACCCAGGCTGGAGTGCAATGGCGTGATCTCAGCTCACCACAACCTCCGCCTCCTGGGTTCAGGCAGTTCTCCTGCCTCAGCCTCCTGAGTAGCTGGGATTACAGGCACCCGACACCACACCTGGCTAATTTTTTTATTTTTATTTTTGGTAGTGATGGGGTTTAACTATGTTCCCCAGGCTGGTCGCGAACTCCTGATATCAGGTGATCCACTCACCTCCGCCTCCCAAAGTGCTAGGATTACATGTGTGAGCCACTGTACCCAGCCATAAATACTATTTAGAGACATAATTTCTCTGACATTTTGTTGAGTAGTAAAGATAATGTGCCTTTATCAAGCCATCTGTGGTCAGTTTCATTATTTTATTTTATTTTTTTACATTTACCATGCTACAAAAGAACTCTTGGTAAAATCACCATTTCCTGGAGTTAACTAGTTAGATAAAGTTATATGAAAACAGTAACTTTTTATTTGTAAATGTATTAACTAATGATGAGAATACAAGAAGTTATAACATAGTTCTTATTTTCTAGAAGTAGTGAGGAAGACAGACATGTGAGTAACTATTTTCAGTGCAACATAAGTGCTAGAGTAGAAACGTGTACAAAGTGATTTGAAAGGTTTGAGAAGAGAGTTGCTAAAAGCCTGCAAGTTTTGAAGGGAGGATCCCAGAGGTAACATCTGAACTTGTTTAAATAATGTTTGAGATGGGAGACAGTGGTTTTTAGATGGAGGACACTGCTTAACAGTAAATGTAGTAGACGCAAGGCCTAAAAATACATGGCTGGAGGATAAGGTAGATGAAAAGAGATCGTTGAAATCACTTATGGAACGAGTTAGGATGCTTTTGCTATGTCTTTGTAGAACCCTACAACCTTGTCCAACCTTCCTTATTTTGTTGTTGTTGTGTTTTGCTTTGTTTTAGGCTTTTAGCCGCCCAAAGCCATGGTTTTTAGTGTCTGTGTCCCATGATAAGTGGGAAAAAAGGGGGTGATGAAGGGGCTTTACTGGCCTAATCAGAAACAGAAACTAAGGACCCAAGATGGTATTCTCTCCCTTGGACACCTGGTTAGATTTTTAAACTGGTCATATTATTTGAAAAGATAACTAGCAGCAGTAGTTGAGATGGATTAGATGGAGAGACATTGACTAATAGATGTGAAGTACTTGTCCAGGTGAGATGATAATCTAGACTTAAGGCAGCAGCATTAGTAGATAGATGAATGGGAAAATGGTATATTTGTGTAATTGAGAAATAGAAATACAGTCAGGCATGTGGTACACACCTGTAGTCCCTTGGACTTGGGAGGCTGAGGTAGGAGGATTGCATGAGCCTAGGAGTTTAAGGCCAGCCTAGGCAATATAGTAAGATCCTGACTCAAAGAATAAAGAGAAAGAAATGCAAATAACATGGTAACTGGTTGGTTGTGGATGGAGGAGGAGCTAAAGGGCTCAATGACTTAAAGATTTCTAGAGCAGTTAATTGTATACAGGTGGGCGCTGCTCCACCTACCTCCCACAAAATAGATTCATTTGGCATGTTTATTTTGAAGTTCCTGTAGGAAATCCAAGTGTGGGATCTAGCATATAGAATGGTGTCAGACTTTGTGGGGATCTATTGGACATTATATCAAATTGGCGTATGTGCAATTTTTCATACCACTAAGCTTTTCTACACAGAATGAATACAAAGGCTTGTGGCTTAAAAAAGAAAAATCATGTTTTAAAAGGCAGAATGGGAAATAGAAAGTAGCTGGTTGGAAAGCAACGAAGCTCATTTATTGAACACTTACAGCTAAGCCTTTTATAAAAATACTATTTTATTCTGTAGCGGTCCTGTAAGAACAATTTAGAGACAATCCTTGATTTTTGTACATTTGATTTTCAAGTTAGAAATGTACATCATATGTAGATACCTCTCAGTCACTTTTGCTGAATTTGGATTGCAAAATGTAAACATCATGAAGACAGAAACCATATTTATGCAGCTTCTCATACTTTTTCCTTAACCTAGAACCTGACATGGTTTTGGTGCTCAGTAAGCATTACGTGAATTAATCAGTCTATAAAATGATTAAACAGTTCAAGTTGGTACTTGATAGTACTTGATAGTACTGCTTGACAGTAATGTTTGGTCCCCTTTATCATTTTTGCATTTCTAGCTGTGGAGCTACAGGTATTTGATACAATTACTTGAACATTTTATTGCATTTATATTTTTCTTTTTTAAGTAGAAAAGAAAAATGACAGTGCAAACGTAACTAAACCTAAGTCTTCTATATTTAGTACATTCAAGACAAAAGATGGAAGTAATCATTATTAGACCAAAAGCAGTGAATATGAAGTCCAGTTGGCTGAACTTCTGAGAGAAAAGAACCAAATATATAACATGAATATAATGTGAGAAATTTATTGTTGAAAACATCTATGACTTGAGGTCTTAGTGATATCTTTTTGTTAGTGGGAATTGGTTCTTCTTTGCCCGTTTCGATTTTCTTCTTTCTAACTTCCCCAGAAAAGTCTATTTTAATTAAGATATTTGATAATACTACTCGTATATAAGTCCATTATATAAAAATGTAAAGAACTATCTGTAGCCCCATATTACAGAAAATTACACAAGGCTTATTTATACAAGTGTAAATGCAATGAAATATTCAAATACTTTTATATAAGTCTAAGTGTCTTGGCCAAGATTACACAGCTAACAGTTGACAAAACATTTGAATGTGGGTTGGTCCAACTTCAGATTTTTTTTTTCTTTTTCACTGTGTGTTACATCTAAAAAGGTGCAGCTCAATTTTTTTTTTTCAAATGTATGCATTCATGTAACTACAACCCAGATCAAGATATGAAACATAACTAGCATCCTAGAAGCTTCCCTCGTTTTTCCTCTTGGTCATTAACCACGCTACCACCAGCAAACACTGTTCTGCTTTCATGCTAGACTTATTTTAGAGTTTCATGTCAATAAATTCCTATTATGGACTAAGCACTTCATGAATAGTTGAAAAAGGATTTATTAACAATATCAAATGCAGGAAGAACTGAAAGACCACTGGATTTGGCAACAAGTTGGAGGAATTTTACTTATGCTTAGGATTGCTGTACGTTTAATAACTGGGAGGCAAGGGGTTGAATGAAGACAATGGGTGTAAACTGTTTTTCCCTTCTTAACCTTATTTCTTGTGAAGTTTGTTACAGTGGAATATTGAGTTAATGGCAAAGAAACAAGTCAGACTTTTAAAAAATGTTTTTGTCTTTTATTCAGCAAGTGACAGACTTTAGATATTAGTTTAAAAAAAAAATTTTTTTTAATGTCTTGGCTGGCTGCTGTGGCATACTCTTGTAATCTCAGCATTTTGGGAGGCCAAGGTGGGAGGATTGCTTGCGTACAGGAATTTAAGACCAGCCTGGACAACATGGCATGAGATCTCCTCTTTACAAAATTTAAAAATTAAAAATAGAAATGAAACGTGTCACTCTATCCACTTACTATGAGTGTATAATTTATTTGTACAAATGTAATATATTACTCTTTTGTTTAAGGTTTTTAGGATAATTTTTGTGTTTATATTTTTAGGAGTTATGGTACAGCACCTGTAAATCTTAACATTAAGACAGGAGGAAGAGTTTATGGAACCACAGGTAAAATTTGTATTTTCTGTTGCATCAATAGGGAAATAAGACACATTTCTTAAATAGGTCATAATCACTTTTTGATTTTTTTTGAGGGGAGTGGGGGACAGAGTCTGGCTCTGTCACCCAGGCTGGAGTGCCGTGGCACAATCTTAACTCACTGCAACCTCCTCCTGGGCTCAAAGCATCTTCCCACTTCATCGTGCCAAGTAGCTGGGACTATGGGCGTGCACCACCATGCCCGGCCAATTTTTTGCATTTTTGTGTAGCGACAGGGTCTCACCATATTGTTCTGGCTGATCTTGAACTTATGAGCTTAAGTGATCTGCCTGCCTCGGCCTCCCAAAGTGTTGGGATTCCAAGTGTGATCCACTGTGCCTGGCCAAGGTGGTAATAGCTCTCTCTCTTTTTTTTTTTTTTTTTTTTTTGAGATAGAGTCTCTGTGTCACCTATGTATGCAAGCTTGGCTCACTGCAGCCTCTGCCTCCTGGATTCGAGCAGTTCTCCCTGTCTCAGCCTCCCAAGTAGCTGGAATTAAAGGCACCCACCAGCATGCCTGACTAATTTTTGTATTTTTAGTAGAGACGGGATTTTGCCATGTTGACCAGGCTAATGTCAAACTCTTGAGATAATACTCTTTTTAAAGAGTAATCTTTGACCATACATCACAAAGATCGGCAAACCTTTATTGTAGAGTCCAGTAGCTGGCCAGGCATGGTGGCTCATGCCTGTAATCACAGCACTTTGGGAGGCTGAGGTGGGCGGATCACCTGAGATCAGGAGTTCAAGACCAGCCTGGCCAACATGGTGAAACCCTGTCTCTACTAAAAATACAAAAATTAGCAGGGCATGGTGGCGGGCGCCTGTAATCCCAGCTGCTTGGGAGGCTGAGGCAGGAGGATTGCTTGACTCCGGGAAGCGGAGGTTGCAGTGAGCTGAGATCACACTTTTGTACTCCAGCCTGGCAGATAAGACTGAGACTGAGTCTTTAAAAAAAAAAAACAAAAACAAAAAGTCCAGTAGCACATATTTTAGACTCTGCTTTGCTTGGAGCCCTTGCTGTGTTTTTTGCCAGGAATAGTAAAAAGGTGTGTGTTTTCTGTTTGTGTGTTTGTGTGCCAGGAATAGTAAACAGGTGTTTCTATCTTCTGTTTGTCAGTGGTATCTCCTAGCTTCTTGCAAGTGTAGCTTCTTCATTTTGTAATTTATAAAACAGGAACAAAAGTCAAAGGAGTAGACCTTGATGCACCTGGAAGCATTAATGGAGTTCCACTTTTAGAGGTAGATTTGGATTCTTTTGAAGATAAACCATGGCGTAAACCGGGTAAGATTATTGTGGATTATATGAATTTCAATATTTTTAGCTTGAAGTCATCAGAAAATATTTTTGAATATCAATTTAGAATTTTATTTTTTATTATAATTTTAATTGTCTTAAGCAAATGATGAATAAGAATGACTTGGATTACTAATACTGGTGGCCTTGTATTACTTAAAATGTAGACTTACATATTGTTTATTATAGTGGTGTTTCTAAAGGAAATAATTTGATAAAAAATTTTATAGTCTTTTTGTCACCACAAATGATGGCGTGATAACTAATAGAACTCTAAATTCGTATTTTTATAGTCTATTTTTGATGCTACATAAAAATGGAACTGAAATATTCGTACACTAAAGGTGTGTTTTATCTTTAGGTGCTGATCTTTCTGATTATTTTAATTATGGGTTTAATGAAGATACTTGGAAAGCTTACTGTGAAAAACAAAAGAGGATACGAATGGGACTTGAAGTTATACCAGTAACCTCTACTACAAATAAAATTACGGTAATTAATAAATATTCCGGAATACCCTTGGCTTGTCTACTGTCCCACTTTTACTCCCCAGATAAATCTCTTTCCTATAAAGATGGTTAAATGTTATATGATAGTTTAAAAATTCCATTTTGTTTACCATGTTTGTTTTTCCCTTCCCTCCCTTTTAGAGTTTTATATTAATAATTATCTGATGTTCTTACTTTCAAATCACAGACTAGCCACAGCTAGTTTGTCTTTATATGGCCTATTAATTAAATATTATGTGGTATCTTAATGGGGAATATGTTATTTAACTTAGGCCGAAGACTGTACTATGGAAGTTACACCAGGTGCAGAGATCCAAGATGGCAGATTCAATCTTTTTAAGGTGAATTTTAGTAAATTATCCTTGGTTGCTCTCATTTTTTTGTTCTTGAGTCTGCTCCCATACCACTACTCAAGGGGCAAAATTAAAGTGGAAATAGCTACCTTTTTTCCAAACCTTCAGCTTCCTGGTGACTTACAAATTTGCTGATTGTTGTTTTATCTCCACTTTTGCAAGCATGTGAATTTATAGCCTATTGTACTAACAAATGCCAAGTAAAACTATTCTTTGCTATATGTTATGCTTTCAAGTCATAAAACATGTTTGTAGGATAGAAAAGTTAGTGGCAACAGATTAAGTTCTTATTGTAGATAATACTTTATCAATAGAATTGGGGACTTTTTTATTTTTAAAAAAACGGTAAGGAAGGTGGCATGCTGTTTAGCTATATAACACTGATATCATTGTTGTAATGCCTTTATAGTTCAAGATAACCTTCACAAATCTTTGACATTCTCTGAGAGTCTTTAAGAACTCAAAGCCATTGATTTTAAATGTTGGTATTTAAAAGGAGTAGGTTTATGTGAGAGACTTTGAGGTTGATAGTACAACTTTTGTATATCAAGTCTGATTTCTGCCTTCTCCATTTCATGGTATGATCACAGACCCAGTCCAAAGAAAAATACTGTATTGTCATTGTTCTTTTATGGAAACCTGATTGTGTACTCTTTTTTCTTTACCTTAGTAGTTGATTCTTGTATTGAATGACACTGGGATGAAGATTGGGAGTGGCTTTTAGATTGGGTTGTGTACTCAGGGAACTTTTGTGGGCTGAAAAGACACCTCTGCTTCCCTTTTGGGTTTGTAGCCCTGTCCACCAGAATACCCAGCATACTGCCTTATGCACTGTGTGTGCTGTGACTACAGATACAACCACTCTACTGTACCCAGTTTTGTATAGATAATTTTAATTTGCATCCTACTTTGCATAAGTATTTGGTTCTTCTTTCGCAAATATTTTGAAAGTATGTGATGATGTCTGTTGTATTTTAAAGGGTCATCAGGTTCTTTTAGGTTATATTGTCCATGTAGGCATTGAATATATTAAACTTGATTACAGTGAGTAGAGAAGTTGTCTTAGTGAACTAGTTCATTAGCAGCAGTGCTTTTTATTTTCTTCTAACAGAAATGAGAACTGCCATCATAAGCTGTTAGCTTCTGTATACTTCATTTTTTGTGGTAGACTTTTAAAAAGAGAATAAAAAGAAACTCCTAGGGGTCAGTCTTATTGAAGGTAGCTATTGTGAATATGTATTTTATATACATACTGTGTACTGAAGAATTTATTTTGAAGTTTCTTTCGGTTATGTGAGAGGAACTCATAGAGTGTTCCATTCTGATTGGATTCTGAACGAAGGATTTTAATTTGATGGGTGCAGTCTTCATGGTTTTCTTGCCTTGATAATGTATTTAAATGCTAATGTGTTTCGTAGAAATACTGACTTGGGAATGGGGTGGATATTAATAATGTGTGTGACAAACATTTTTTTTTAATGTATATTGTAGTCTGTAGGAAATGGTGGAAATAGAGCCATCATAAGCAGGACATTGATTTCAAACAGCCTGCAAACATTTGTGTAGCCAGTAGGAAGCTGCTTGAAAGTTCCTGAGCAGTAGAATAAAGTGCCGATCTTGTTTTTAGAAAAGAAACTGGCAACACGGTGGACTGTAGAATAAAAGGGGTATGAAACAGGTAGGGAGCTGTTGCCATACTGTAGGAATGAAAATGAAGTAGGGCCTGAACTCATTCATGAGGGTGAATGGGCAAAGGAATGGATTTAAGAATTAAATTTTATTTTCATATCTACTGCAAATAGAATCTTTTCATTCTTAAGTGTGAGACAACCCATCAGCCTCTTTAAGATAACTTTATTTACTTTTCATTAAAAAATTTTCAAACACAGTAACAAGTAGAATAGTACACATGAACCCTTAGGTGCTTATCATACAGCTTCAACACTTAACAGTGTTTTAACACTCTTGAGGCCTTTTATATACTTCAATATGGATAAAGTTTTTTTAAAAAGCAAAATAAGACATTTAATAGGTATAAAAATAAAGTCACTCAATTGGGTGCAAAAACAATTATGTAGTTAGAGTGAAGGGCAAGAGAGAAGTGACTGGTGGGAATAGGTAGCATGTATATTAACAAAAACTTCACTAAAACATTTTCTTAAAATATTTTTTATTCATTTGTACGCACTGCATAGATCTTTCCCATGTATGAGCTTTGTCATCAGTGTTCTGAAATTTTACAGTTATGTGTGTTGGTCTGTTTTCATCCATTATACCAAGCACTCAGTTGTGCCTTCTTGATTTGGAAGCACTCATTCTTCATGTATGGGACACTTACTTTTTTCTCTGCTTTCTTTTCTTTTGTAGATAAATGTTGGATATCTTTGAATGGTCTTCTAATTTTTTTTTCTCTTTATTTGTATTGCTTCCATTATCTGGGAGATAGGTCTTTTTCATTCTTATAATATTTCTACCTTGTTTTAATTTCTACTGTTAATTTCAAAGAAAATTTTTCTTTATTATTTACTTGTAGCGTCTTATTATTTATGCCTACAGTAATACAGTATCTTTTCCCCCCTCTTTCAAAGGATATTAATAATAGGCTATTTGTTTCTGTTAGATTTTCTTTTCCTGTGTAGTCTGTTTTCAATTTGATTATTTAAGTTGGTTATTTTTAGCTTCTCACCTTGACTTTTCTGAAATTTTTGTTGATTGTTGGCCTTACACTCATGTAAGGGTGGGCTGCTAAAATTGATTGGAAGCGCTGTGCATCTGAATAGAACTTGCTGACTGTAGGCTTCACTGGAGGACTTTTTTTTTTTTTCACATTCTCTGATGTCAGTATCTTTAGGTGTTTTTCTTTTTGTGGTAATCTGATTTTTTCAGATAAAATATTCCAGTATTCTGTCTCGAGGGTATATACTTGGCTGATTCAGATGTTCTGGTAGCCGGATCTTTCAATTCCTGAATTTTTCGGGTGCCTACCATGACATTGTCTTTGCTTTCTCATTGCTGACTTAGGATTTGGATTTTTCTTTTTTTTTATATCTGCTCAGTTGCTATTTTTTAATCTAATTTCAAAGTTCTGAATTTTGTTGCTTTCTTAATTTTTTTCTTGTGGGTTGAAACAAAATTGTGACAGTTAAACAAAGTTGTCTGTTTTTCCTTTTTTGAACTTAACATGTAGTAATGTTTTCCTAAGTTGTTAAATTTTTAAAATAAATATAATTTAAAATTGTTGCATAGTTTGTTATTTAGATATAACACAGTTTACTTAATAGTTTGTTTGTTTTTTTTTTTTTTTTGAGACCCACATCCTGGGTTCAAGTGATTCTCCTCCCTCAGCCTCCCGAGTAGCTGGGACTACAGGAACCCACCACCATACCCGGCTAATTTTTTATTTTTAGTAGAGATGGGGTTTCACCATGTTGGCCAGGCTGGTCTCAAACTCCTGACCTCAGGGGTTCTGCCCGCCTTGGCCTCCCAAAGTGCTGGAATTGCAGGCATGAGCCAATGTGCCTGGCTGTTTTTTTTTTTTTGTTTTTAAGATATTGTTTGTAATGTTAAATTTTTATAATGAAGCTATGATAGGCAGCCAAAGGAAATTTCAAAATTAATTTTAAAACTTTTAGTACAGTGGTAGCATAATTTGGGTATTTAGCTTCTCAAGTTTATAGACTGAAGTTTTGTTTGGATTTGTCAGATCTAACATAAATTTGTTTTTAGGAAATGAGTCATAATGTCTTTGATCATTTCTTAAGCTATTAGGTTCTGTGAAATAATCTCATTATGTTCTAATTAGACAAATTTTGAGTCTGTAATCTTGAGTGTAACATCTGAAGACAAACAAATGGATAATAATGCAAGTTGACTAGAAAGCTGGAATAGTGAAGATTTTCAGGATTGTTTAATATAATGAGTATATTATGAAGAAATTAAGGGAAAACAGGTAGGAAACACGAGCAACTTTTGCGTGTATGAAAATCTGCCCCATTTTCCTAATATCTTCTCTGACCTTTCCCCTATTATAAATACTCTTCCCACCATACTCGCCGCCTCTCTTTCTTTTACTGTCTTTCCCATGTCTCTTCCCTAATCCTTTCCTCTTCTTCCTTCCTGGTTTTTAATTGAGCATTGAGTGTGCCAGGAAGCATATTAGGCTTTGGTGGAGAGGTCAGCATAATAGACATGGAGGCTATAGTCCAGAAGTTTGTTTTACTTAATGGGAAAATTTAGGTATTAATTAAATAACCATGCCAAAGATGATATAGTTATAAACTACATGTTCTGTGGAGTTTCAAGAAGTGACATTTCAATTGATACTCAAAGTCAGTCAAAGAACAAATATTTATTGAGTACTTATTGCATGCCAGGTACTGTTTTAGGATGGGACATAATGTGTTGGAATTCTGTGTGTGTATGTTTTTTTTTGATTTTTTTATTTATATATATCAGCATCACAAAGTGAAAAGCACCTCAACATATCCTGTTATAATAATGAGCACTCGTCTTGTGTATAAGTATCACCCTGAGTGGGACTGCATTGTCGTAACTGTATTTTATGATTTTTTTTTTTTGAGACAGAGTTTTGCTCTTGTTGCCCAGGCTGGAGTACAGTGACACGATCTTGGCTCACTGCAATCTCCGCCTCCTGGGTTCGAGTGATCCCCCTGCCTCAGCCTTCCAAGTAGCTGGTATTTTAGGTGCACACCACCATGCCTGGCTGTTTTTTGTATTTCTAGTAGAGACGGGGTTTTGCCATTTTGATCAAGCTGGTCTTGAGCTCCTGACCTCAGATAATCCACCTGCCTCAGCTTCCCAAAGTGCTAGGATTACAGGTGTGAGCCACAGCACCCAGACATAACTGTATTTTAGACATTAAGTAGGCCTTTTAAAGGGTTTACCTATACAAAATAATCAAGGTTATAACAGAACTTCAAAGGAAATAAAACATTAGCCTCTTAAAATTACGTGGTGAGAAAAAGCTTCAAAAACGAATGTTTCCATGTTGAGATGAAATGAACTACAATTAGAATCTTATGCTTTCTTTTACAATCTTAAATGGATATTGCTTATAAAATTTAAAAAATCATGCTTTTATAAACATTATAGCTGTCATAAAATTCGTGGCAATTAATAGCTTCTTTCTTAGTCTCTTTATACAAATAACTAGTGAACCGTTTATTTTCTCTTCGTTGTGCAAACCAAATGGTCGGTGCAATTGATTTCAATTTTTCTTAACAAAATTACTGAAGCATACGCAAACTTAATACTTTTAGAGAATTATGGGAGTATGAAAGGGAAATTTTGAGTTTTGAAGTATTTACCATTAGAAAGTTCTAAGACATTAAAAGGTATATTTTTTTTAAACTGATGCAAAAATGTTTATGTGCAGAAAAAGATATTTTTGTTGTGGAGGCAAGTAATTGTTCTTCATACTGGAATCCTTTTGAATTTATGTTATTTTTCCTGTAAAGAGAAACCAGGAAGAAGAAAATCCTATGACACTAATGTATCATCCCAGGTGCTTTCAAATGATTTCTTTTTGTGTGGGAACTTCTAAGCAATCACACTATTGCCATGATAAAATTCTTTTGGGTGGTTGAGTATCTTTCCTTCATTCCTCTTCTGGTAGACTCAGTAAAGTTAGCTAGAGGGATCAGTGATCACCAGAGAGTGAGCTGTGCAACTAGAGCTTGAATCCAGGTGTTCCAAACACGGTTTATTCTTATCTCCTCTGAGGGGAAGGGTACTCATGAATGGAGTGGCATGCATCTTCTCTGAAGGCAGTTATGTCCATGCTGTTTTCATATCATGGCCAAATTAGGTAGTCTGTATCTGTTCATAAGAAGATTCATAATAAAAATAAAAAATTCAAAAAGGAATTAATGAAATCTCATTTCTCTGCCACACAAAAGTGAAGTGATAGCTCTCAGTGTAAACCAAATGATCTGTAAATAGTCTGGAATGTCTGTGTGACTCTCTTTACAAATGACAAACCTCAGAGAACTGCTAGCTGTGTTTTCCACGAAAGTTACTGATCACAGATTGAAATTTGGCATATGTTGTAAAGGTAAAGTTGACATATTGGGTGTTGACATGTGTTAGATAATTTCTACAGTTCTTTGTTTTCCTTGAGCAGCTCAGTAGATCATGGTGCCATTTATTTATATGGGGAAGACGTGGAGAGGATCAGATTAGGGAAAATTGGTAGTTTTGTTTTGGCCATGGTAACTTTGAGATGTCTGTTAGATGTGAAAGAAGTTATATTGAAATTACTGGTGGCCAAGGGAGCACTTGGGACAACAGTGCCAACTCTGAATATTCCTGACATCCCCAGGCAGAGCAATGCATTTCTTTTTGTGTTATTATAACATCTTTTATCCCTTAGATTTTTTTCATAATATTTATTATATTGCTCTGATTGTTGGTGTTTTTTTTTTTTTCCCTAAGGTCCAGGATCCTGTTGTGTTTCTCTGTCAGCTTCTGGTACATAATAAACACTCAATAAATGATAAATGATTTATGTTTACATTCTCTCACCAGATCCTCTCTGTTTTACCCATCAAGTCTATTTCTTTCTGTTCCCATTGCCTTAGTGCTGATTCTCATTAGAATCAGGGCATTTAAATTGATTTTTTTTTTAAGCAGCAGAACTCATATTCAAATAAACTAAATGTAAAACGCTCATTATATGAGGGTATCAATTAGGAATTGGACTGGGCACTATTAATAAGAGATCTATCTGACTATAATGGCTTAAATGTAAAAGAGTTTTTTTTTCCTCGCATAATGATTAGTTGGGAGGTAGATGATTTTGGAATTGAATCGGTGGTTCAAATATATCAGTCAGAATGTCTTGAGACATGGGTTCTTTACCTCCTGGGAAAGGAGGGTGATGCTGAATTTAAATAGAATTTAAATAGCATATAAAATATGGTGTGATATTATTTAAGTGTAAGGAAACTTAAACTTTGTTTAAATTGAATAGATTGGTAATAATTTTAAGATAAAAAGGTGAGTATAAAGGTAAAAGAGCATAAAGAAGTCATTTCAACAGTCAAGAGGAATGTGACTGGACTACACGCCAAGGATCTAGGAAGAGCAGAAAAGATAGGCAAATCTTAGAGGAGTTATGGAATAAGTAGATAACTGGTTTTAAAATTAATATAAAGAGAAGGCTGGGCATGGTGGCTCACGCCTATAATCCCAGTACTTTGGGAGGCTGAGGTGGGCAGATCACTTGAGGACTAAAGTTTGAGACCAGCGTGGCCAACTCGGCGAAATCCTGTCTGTACTAAAAATATGAAAATTAGCCAGGCATGGTGGTGCATATCTGTAATCCCAGCTACCCGGGAGGCTGAGGCAAGAGAATCACTTGAACCCAGGAGGTGGAGACTGGAGTAAGAGCCAAGATTGCACCACTGTACTCTCGTGGCGCAATCTGCCTGGATGACAGAGTGAGACCCTGTCTCCAAAAAAAAAAAAAAAAAAAAGAAAAAGAAAAAAGAGGTATTAAATTAAGACGGATGATTGACTTCAAGCTTTTAAGCCTTCTGAACTGGCAGGATGGAGGTATTGTTAATGGTGATGGGAAAATGGGAGAAATTGTATGGATGTACAGTAGCAGATTATTGACATTTGTGTTACAGGAAATCAGTCTGAATAGAAAATGGTCAGAATGGCTAAAATAGTTACCTATTGTTTTCTTAGAATAAGGGTAGTAAACACAGAATGGGAAAATTCTTCAAGGCCTTTCTTGAAGAATATGACTTCGTGTTGAAACATAAAGTCATGATCAATTATCTGGGACTTAATTTGTGGTGATCTGGGGGAATTTATGAAGGTGCCAAAGAATTACAGTTTATTCCGCTTTTAAGTGTTATTAATGTGAACTTTTTGATAGTTGGAACATTTTGATCCGATTTTTCTCTTTGGTGCCTTTCACCTAATACTATTCTAAAATAGGCTAATTTTAATAAATATTTAGCAGTGAAATATTCATTGTGTTTAACTTCAAATTATATGTTATAAACTTATTTTAACATCTAAAGTCCATTATATTTGAGTATTCTGGTAAATTAAACAAGCTAATAACCTTTTTTTTTTAAGGTACAGCAGGGAAGAACTGGAAATTCAGAGAAAGAAACAGCACTTCCCTCTACAAAAGCTGAGTTTACTTCTCCTCCTTCTTTGTTCAAGACTGGGCTCCCACCAAGCAGGTTAGTTATGTAGTTGTAACTCAATTATTATAAGACATTGGTATCTTTACATTGTATTTGTGCTATATTAAGTATAAAAGCTCTGAATGTTCTACCAAAAAACTGGAACATTCTACCTTGTTTTAGTACAAAATGAATTCTTCATGAGAAACTTCTTGATGTTCTTCCATCTAAAAAAGTCTAGGTAAGCAAGAAATGAAGTGTGATATATAGTTATGTGTGTGTGTAAAGAGACAATCTTTCATTCAAGAGAGGTGGTAATAGTAGTATTGGCTGTTTCCTGTTCCTTTATTATTCTTACATAATAAAGAATTATTCAACTTCTAAGTCTAGATCTATTGGCTTAAAAGTGTTTTGCTGATTTTAGTGAAAGGCTATTGAAATTTTGGCTTGGAAAAACCTTTAAAATTGAAACTATTTTTTGTTGTTTGGTTTGATGTGATAATACCTAATATATTCCATAAGGTATCAGATGTAAGAGGCAAATATGCTAGAAATTGTCCTTTTTACTTAAATGTGACAAATAGTTACCTTATTATGTCATTACGACGAAATCGCTAAAGGCTGCTGGGCTCAGACTAGCGAAATTTGAGGTCAGTAGTTTAATATTGGACTAGATAAAATAACTTAAGTCTGGGCCTGAAACAAATTAATAACCCACCTATTACTAGTCCTCGGCCAGATCACTTATCTTTTGGGTTACTTGGTTAAACTCTTTCTGTTTTTGTTATTCTGCAGTTTTATATTGTTATAAGAGCTATTTTAGAATAATCTAATACAGGAAGATACCTTATAGTAGCATCTAGTCTAACTCTAAGACAAAGATTTTTGAAGCTTTCAGCTAAAATTAAATGTCATAAAGTAATCCAGTATTTTTGCGAATAGTCATAGATAAAATGAAATGTGATTATTTGAACTAAATATATCATAAAATGTTTGGTTAAAGAATGATAGCTAAGATTTTAATACATAGTAATATATTATATTTTAATATTTAGTATTCTTTTGGCATGTCCATTTTTTTAAGAGGTTAACATTCATTCAGTTTATGGTATTCTACAGTATAGAGTGATGGTAACAGCTTGGACTCTAGAGTCAGATTTCTGGAGTTCAAATGCTGGCTCTGCAGCTTAATAGCTCTGCTGTCATTGGGCAAATTCCCTAATCTTGTTATGCCTTGATTTCTTCATCTGTAAAATGTAATAGTACTTCCCTCACAGTGTAGTTATATATATTCAGTGGACTCATTTATATAAAGTGTTTTAGAACAGTGTCTGGTACCTAGAAAATACTCTAGATGTTTGCTTTTATACTTAAACTCTTTAAAAATCAGTAGTTTTTCTGTACTTTACCTTTTATTTTTTTGTTGTTGATTGGCTTTTCAGAATTTGGGCCAGATTATATAGGGTTGTGAGTGCCATTATAAAGGCTTTGGCTTTTCCTATAAATTAAATAAATGGGGACTCACTGGTGGATTTTGAGCAGAGCAATGAAATAATCTGATTTAGGTTTTTAAAGTTTCAAGTTAGTCGCTTTTCTAAAAACAGACTACAGAATTACTTAGGGTGGGTGAAAACAGGGAGGACAATTCGGAGGTTGCAGCAATTATCTAGGAAGAGATAATGGTGACTTGGACCAAGATGATAGTGGTAGAGATGCTGAGAAGTAGTCAGATACCAGATATATTTCAGAAGGTAAGCCAATAAGCTATCTTGATGGATTTGGGTATAGATTGTAGAGGAAAAAGCAGACAAGGATGAATCCAAGGTTTTTTTTTTTCTAATCACCTGAACCAGAATGAGGGATTTGTCATTTACAGAGATGGAAAAGAGAGAGCATAAGGAGGAGTGATTATTGGAGGAAGAAGAATTCAGTGTAGAACCTAATAAAAATGAGATGCCTATTGAACATGCAAGTGGGAAATTTGAGTAGGAAGTTGGCTATATGGATCTGGAATTGAGGGGAAGAGTATGGGCTGGAGATAATCAATTTGGTATAATAAGTGTTTAAATATTATTTAAATGAAATTATAAGATGGAATTAGTCCATATAAGAGGTAAGTATTGATAGAGAAGTGGTAAGAGACAGCCTTGGAGCACTCCCTTGTATGTCAGCAAAATAAGGATGAACTAGTAAGAGCAGCCCAATAAGGTCAAGTAATGAATGAAATAGGAAGAAAACCCACTGTATGTTTTGAAAACGATGTGTTTCAAGAAGGAGAAATGTCAACTATCAAATATTAAATCCAGTTGATTGGTCAAGAAGTTGGAAGACTAAGAATGACGATTGGATTTTATTGATGCTCATTGGTGATCCTGACCAGGATCATTTTCATTTGTATAAAGGGAAGATAAAAGACTTTGGAATAGATTCAAGAGAGAATGGGAGGAAAAGAATTAGAGAAAATATGGGCACTTTTTGGCAGACTATTTTCTTTCTTTGGGGGCCAGAGAAATGAGACAGTATCTGGAGGGAAATATGGGGTCAGGAAAAGATTTTTTTCAAAACAAACCCCAGCATTTTGGCCAGGCACTGTGGCTCATGCCTGTTATTTCAGCACTTTGGGAGGCTGAGATGGGCAGATCAGTTGAGGTCTGGAGTTTGAGACCACCCTGGCCAACATGGCAGAACCCCCTTTCTACTAAAAATACAAACATTAGCTGTGCATGGCAACGCACACCTGTAGTTCAAGCTACTCAGGAGGCTGAGGCAGGAGAGTTGGTTGAACCCAGGAGGTGGAGGTTGCAGTGAGCCAAGATTACGCCACTGCACTCCAGCCTTGGTGAGAGAGCAAGACACTGTCTAAATAATAATTATTACAACATTTTGTATATTTATGGGAATGAGTTACTAGAGGAGAAATTGATGATGTGAGACAGGGGAGTTGTAGAACAATGTCCTTTAATAAGGCCAGAGGGATGAGATGTAATGTGCAAGTAGAGGGGTTGCCCTTAAGTAGAAGCATGGACAATTCATTCATAAGAACAGGAAGGAAGGCAGGATACAGGGCACCGGTGCAGATGGGTAGGTGGATAAGGGAATGGGAATAATTGAAAGTTCTCTTCTGATTGCTTCCATTTTTTCCCAGCAAAATAATATGCAGACTTACCTAGTAAGAGTGAGCCTGTTGGAAATAAGAGGCCTTTGAAAGGTAGCATTGAGTGTTTGAGAAGAAAATAGGTCTGAAATAGTCTTTTGGAGCTGTGTGAATAAACTAGGTGAAAGGAGTAGCTTGACAGCTAGAGTGAAGTGTGGATCCAAGAGAAGGCTTTTTTTTTCCAAGATGAGAGGAATTACAGTATTTTTATATGCTGATGGGAATGAGTTAGAGTACAAAATTGATGATGCAGGGAGAGAAACTGTACAGCACTATTCCGTATCTGGGTTTTTCTTTCCTTGGATTCAGTCACTTGTAGTATGGTACAATGAGATATTTGGAGAGAGAGAGAGAGAGACCACATTCATATAACTTTTATTACAGCATATTGTTATTAGGTTGGTGCAAAAGTAATTGCAGTTTTGGATTGTGAAATTGAAATCATAACTACGCTCAAACACATCTTTATTAATCAAAATAGCAACTATTACAATCAACACATTTTGCATGAGAAATAAGTTTGTTTATTCCTGTAGTGTAAAAATCCATGCTTTGGGATTTGACGAACTCATGGAAAGCATTCTCTGTATGCTGCTGATTGTGGAAGCGTTTTCCCTGCAAAAAGTTGTTGAGATGCTTGAAGAAATGTTAGTTGGCAAGAGATCAGATGAATATGGTAGATGAGGCAAAACTTTGTTGTCCAATTTGTTCAGCTTTTGAAGCATTGGTTGTGCAACCTGGAGTCAGGTGTTGAGGTAGAGGAGAATTGGGCCCATTCTGTAGACCAGTGCTGGGTGCAGGAATTGCAGTTTGGGGTGCATCTCATCTGTTTGCTGCGAATACTTCTTAGATGTAATAATGGTTTTGCTGGTATTCCGAAAGCTATAGTGATTAGACCAGCAACAGACCACCAAACAGTGACCATGACCTTTTTCTGGTGCAAGTTTGGCTTTGGGAAGTGCTTTGGAGCTGCATCACTGTCCAGCCACTGAGCTAGTCATCTCCAGCTGTCATATAACACCCACTTTTTGTCTCACATCACAATCTGATAGAGAAATGGTTCATTGTTGTTGCTTAGAGTAAGAGAAGACAACTCTTCATGGTGGTTTTTTTTTTGATTTTCAGTCAGCTTATGAGGCACCCATACTGACCTTTTTCACCTTTCTGATTTGCTTCAAATGCTGAATGAGTGTAAAATGGTTGTTGCTGAGTTCTTTGACAACTTCTCGTGTAGTTTTAAGAGGATCAGCTTTGATGATTACTGTCAGTTGGTTGTCAACTTCCAGTGGCCAGTCAAGGGTCTTGTCTCCTTTGTAAAACTTCTGTTAACTACCACTGTACTGTATGTTCATTAGCAGTTCCTGAGCCAAATATGTTGTTGATGTAGCAAGTTGTCTCCACTGCTTTATGGCCCATTTTGAACTCAAATAAGAAAATCGTTCGAATTTGCTTTTTGTCTAACATCATTTCCATAGTCTAAAATAAACATAAACGGCAAGTAAGTCATTAGCAATAAATAAAAATAAAGCGAGAAATGCCCATTAAAGTGATAAATAACATATAACCACATTTATTTAAGAATATATTCCAATAGCAAACTGCAGATTCCAATAATGCAAAAACCACAGTTACTTTGCACTCACATAATATAATTGTTCTCTTTTATTATTGTTGTTAATCTCTTACTGTGTTTAAATTAAATTCTATCATAGGTATGTATGTATAGAAAAAATATGTACATATTAAGTTCAGTGTCATCCTTAGCTTCAGGCATCCACTGGAGGTCTTAGAATATGTCCTCCACTGAGGGTCTTAGAATGTATCCCCAAGGATAAGGGGGCAGACTGCTGTATATTTTCAGCTTTTCTTGAGATTGATAGTCATGGATTTAAAATGAGACAAATCAGCTGCTTTTTGGGTGTTTCTCTGACTCTCGTCAGGTATATGAGTGTTCATGAAGATTAGCTAGAATTGGATTTAACAGAAGTTGATATATCAGGCAATTATAAAAAAGGGATAAAGGGGACAGGAACATGAGTGTTTACCCAAGGGAGTTATAATGATGGGCCATTGGCTAAGAAGAGATGGAGAGCAAATATAGGTAAGTCACAGCTGAAAGAAAGTAAAGAAAGAATGAAAGTACTAGCAGGGCTATCACTATTAAAAAAACCAAAAATGAATAATTACCACTGTTACCTGTAGAAATTACCTAAGTTGTCAACACTGTTACTTTTGTACTTAAAGGACAGCAGCCACAACTCATTAGGCAAGTTTGTTTTTTTTTGTTTTATTTATCATATTTATGGAGATTGGATAGACATCTTTAAAAGTAAAATTGTATTGACCTTAAGGAGAAAACAGTAAATGTTATTTATTAAGGCATAATGCAGGGTGCATAATAGATATTTAAGGCTTAGCTGTACTACTGACCTAAGCACTGTATTTCCGTTGTTTAAAATCTTAGATTGCCATATTAATGTATAGATAAGTGTTGATATGCTTGCACAGAACTTTTAAAAATATTTTTTCGTACTTTATCAATAGAATACTGGGTTTCCAACTTTCTGTACTGCCCAGCAAATTGGCATTGTTAAGTAAAATTTTATATTTAATACATCAGAATGTTTTGCTTAACCTTTGAAAGTTTTCATTTTAACTTTTTGTGAAATATATGCATACAGAAAAGTGGCATATCGGAATGTACAGCTTGATTAAATTTTTACAAACTAAACATACTTATGTAAACCAGGATGTAGACTGATAAAGAATGTCTTCATTACCCCTAGAAGCCCCCATTATGCCTCCTTCATTTGTTGTTGTCATTTAAAAAAAAAGTTTTATTTTGACAAAAATTTAAACTTACAAAGAATTGTAAAAAAAAAAAAAAAAAAAAGTACAGAGAACTTTCATATACTGTTATCCAGATTTGCCAGTAATAACATTTTGTCATATTTGCTTTATAATTTCTCAAAAACATTTACTGAGCGATTTGAATGTTAATTGTAGGCATCATGCCCCTTTACCTTTAAGTACGTAAGCATGTATTTCCTCAGAACCAGGACATTCTGTTAGATAATCATAGGGCACAGTTATCAAAGTCAGAAAATCAAATAGTAAATCAGTACTTTCATCTAATTGCAGGCTATAAATTTTGCAAATTATCTCAATACCTTTTATGGCAATCTTTTCTCTCTGCATGGATTTAGTATTCAATCCAGGATTACTCATTAAATTTAACTATGTTATCTTTTTCTTTTTCTTAAATCTGGATCAGCTTCTTAGCTTTTCTTTGTATTTCTCGACATTGAAGCTTAGAAGAGTACAACCTAGTTGTTTAATAGATTGTTTTTGGGTTTGCCTGATATTTTCTCATGATTAGATTAAGGTTTTGCTTTTTGGGCAGGAAGACTATGTAAGTGATGATGTTTCCTTCTCAGTGCATTGGCTTGGAGATACATGATGTCAGTGTGTAACATTATTTTATGAGTAATGATAATTCTAATGACTTAGTTGTGGTGGTGTCCTTTGGGTTTCTGCAAAGTTACTATTTTTTCCTTTGTATTTAATAAGTAATTTGTGGAAAGACTAAATACCCTGTTCCTCTTCAAACTTTTTAGAGATTTTAGCTCCAGTGATAATTTTTCCTTTAATCAGTTATTACTGTAATGGCTTCAAAGTAGTGATTATCTAACTATTATTTCTCTTAACTTTTATTAGTTGGCATTCTACTTTAAAAATGAGCTTTCACACTTCACCATTTACCACTTCAAGTCATAAATTCTTATTTAAGGTGTGAGAAACTGTATGTGTGACTTACAAATTTAGCCTTTTTTGGTATCCATGGTGTTTAACCCATACGTATGATTTATATATACTGTAATTCATTTTGATATTCATATTATTCTTCTTTGAACTTGCTCCTGTGACCTTTTCATAGGTCTCCATTGTGTGTGTGTGTGGTTTTTTTTTTTTTTTTTTTTTTTGAGACGGCGTTTCGCTCTTGTTTCCCAGGCTGGAGTGCAATGGCGCAATCTCGGCTCACCGCAACCTCCACCTCCTGGGTTCAGGCAATTCTCCTGCCTCAGCCTCCTGAGTAGCTGGGATTACAGGCACGTGCCACCATGCCCAGCTAATTTTTTGTATTTTTAGTAGAGACGGGGTTTCACCATGTTGACCAGGATGGTCTCAATCTCTTGACCTCGTGATCCACCCGCCTCGGCTTCCCAAAGTGCTGGGATTGCAGGCTTGAGCCACCGTGCCTGGCCTGTGTGTGTGTGTTTTTTTTAGGTTGTCTTTATAGTTTGGAATTACCAGGATATTCCAGGTTTATCTTGTAGTTTCCCTGTTTCTTCCTTGGCAGCCATTTGCAAAGGCACTCTGATTATTTTAGCGAGGAATGGTAAACAAAGCAAGATCAGGGTTCTAGCTGTGCTCATTATACTGGGGCATCGTTATATCCAGGCCTTTTCAGCACTCAGAGGTGGGAAAGAAGTGGCAGTTTCAAGATGAAATTGCCATGTGTGTTTTTTAAAATACATTTTAATCATGAAATACTAATGTTTCTTTTACTTCCGTATGAACATCACAGGATTGTTACTCCTATTTCCCTTTCCCTATTTCATATTGTATCTCCTTTTTTTTTCCACAATGAAAACCTGGCTCCCAGAATCTTGAAATGCATATGTAACAGATTCAGAACTTTTACCATTAGAAGAAAACCTATTTAATAGTGTTTAAGATTTGTTTACAGTTTTTTGTCTCTTTTTAGACTGAGGGTATATAGTTTAAATATTGAGTTCAAAAGTTTCCTGAAGAGTTGTTATGTTAATAATTTAAAATATAATTTAGTTCATCATGTCTATATACAGTTTTAGCTTTTATTTTCCTTCCATGTTTACTGGATATATTATTTTTGGCATATGTAAAACATCTAACAGTTCCAAAGGCAAGAGTATCCAAAGGTTTTACCATACCTTTCTCTGTTTCGTTCATTTTCTGTCAGACAGATTTCATTTAATTTCTGGTCTATTTTTTCTGTGTTTCTTTTTACAGAAACAGACACATAAATATGTATATATTTCCTATTGCTTTGAAAGACCATCTTACTAGTTTTTTAAAGTATTAGCAATAGTGCAGATATCTGAACTTTTTAGGAAGTATGTCACCAGGGATAAAATTAACTTTTTTTGGAAACTTTACTTTGAAAGAGTTAAGTTATTTTGAAATGGAATTTTTATAAAATATTTAGTATAGGTTTTTATGAAACCCATCAGAGTGTTACTGATAACTGGTTGCACTAACAATATCTAAATCTGTTGTTGAAGAATACAGGGAACAAAATACCAAAATTTGGAATAAGATTTTACAAAACTGAAAAATTAATGTTAAGAATTTGTACAGACACATAAATGTATTTTTTAAATAACGTATTGTAACCTGATGTAAACCCTTAGTTCTAAGTTCTTTTCTCCTTACTGCATTGACATCATACTATATTGAAGAATATTTCTAAAAATATTCTAGAGTTAATACAGTGTTGATAGCACATCTATGTTTAAATAGTACCACAGCAAGTAGTTTCTATGACTTGAGAATGATACTGTAGGAACATACTAAGGGACTTTAGAAAAAGCATGTCAAGGAAAAAAAAAACAAAACAAGGGGGGTCAGAGACAAGAAACAATATGTAAGAAAAAACATAGAAAATTTATCTCACCAGAAACAGCACCTCTTCTCAGTCTCAGACAAGTACTGCCTCCAGAAAAGCCAATTCAAGCGTTGGGAAATGGCAGGATCGATATGGGAGGGCCGAATCACCTGATCTAAGGTAAGGCTATTTTTAAACATTGGATACTCCCTGATGTTTAGATCATCAATGTTGTTTTGTCTTACTAATAAGATAATAAATTTTGACTGTACCATATTTTTAACCCTCCAAATTATGCTTTCTCAGGGTACAGTTGTGGGTTTTTTAGTTACTTTATGCTAATGGATGCTCAGTAAATTTTTTTATTCCTCCCCCTTGCTGTAGGTTAATTGTTTCTCATACCACATCCCATTAAAAAAATATATTTCCAGGTGCTTTTTACTACTTATTGAATAAAACCTAACATTCAGAGCCAGCATTTAGGACCTGTAAAATTTGATTCTACTGAATCTTTGCAATCTTATACGCTACTACAGTGATGTGCAAAAACCTGTGGTTTCATTAAGTGGATATAGTAGCTGCCCTGGAATATGCTATTTAGCTTTTTGTTGTTATGCTTTTGTTAATGATCTACCCTCCTTTGAATTTTTGTTTGTGTTCTGAATCTTAAATTTATAAAGCATACAACCTTGAATGGATATTATAATTTCTCTGAGCCTGAAAATTGAAATAATAACTTCATCTTTAAGAGATGCGATGAGAAGCAACTATTTTCCAGCATGAAAGTGCATTGCCCACAGTGATCAGTCTGAGAGAGTATGCTTTGATAACCTGACTTCAAAATACAGATAAATATTTTCCTAATTTATCATTTAAGGTTTTAAAAAATTATGGTATACAATGGGTAATTTTGTTTTTCTTTTTCTTTTGTTAGAGAATTTTTAGCAATTTACTTGGTTAGCTCAATGCTGTATTAATATGTTTTAAATTATTTTAATTTAAAATCTTAAAAAATATAAATGTAAATTATGATCAGATACCTTTGATCATAGCACCTAAAAGAAAAGCAAAGGGAGGAAACACTATCACAATTTGATTTTCTTACATTTCATTTTCTATATAGTCTTAATTGTATATTCCACATGAGTTTAAGAATTCCTTGTTAGGGAAGAAGCTTAGTCATTCTTAAAAGTGGATATACATCTCAAAGTAAGGATGTCTAAACTGTAAGTTTAGTAACTAATGTAGATAAAAATATATTACCTATATTCTTACAATAGTGTCAGTTGCATGTGTTGCTTTAATAGGTTGAAGAAAGTTTTCATTGTATTATTTTGAAAGTACTCATTTTTTTCTATGTATTAAATAATATTGATCTTTGTTTTTGAACACTAAAATTCTGTTTGAAAAACAGAAATTTTCAAGAGTTATTTTAAATAAAGAAAAGTTAAATCTGACAAACGTAGAATGAAATGTATGAGTCTTTGCACATTAGACATTTCTGTGGAACCTAAAAGTTCATAATTGTACTAATAATACATTTTCTATACAACAACTAACTCGATTATTGCATAGAAAAACACTTGGATTTATATTTAACCTGGCAGTTTGGAGAGCCTGTTTACTGATCCTAAAAGGGCCAGACAAAATAAGAACTTTTAATTGTAAACTTATCATGCTACTATTGATAGAATCTTAAACTTAGAACTTTTTTTATTGCGTAAGTATTGGACTTGGATTTTGCGTTTAGTTTTTTCAGTAACTACCTGTGTGAATTAAGGAAACTTTCCTAACATGTTTATGCATACATTTGTAACATGGTGGAGCTAGACTGGGTAATTTGGAAAGCCTCTTCAAACCTGAAATTCTTTATTTTCTGACTAATCCCATGGTTTACAGTGGAAAAAGATTTGAGAGATTAGAGAATTTGCCTGAATTCACAGCTAGTTAAGAGGCAAACCCAGGACTAGAATACCTGCTTTTCTGCCTGTAGGACCAATACTTCGGGCAAGTTGACTTTCATAAACAAAGGCATAGAAATATTTAAAATAGGCTGGGTGTGGTGGCTCATTTCTGTAATCTCATCACTTTAGGAAGCCAAGTCAGGTGGATGACTTGAGGTCAGGAGTTCGAGACCAGCCTGGCCAACATAGTGAAACCCTGTCTCTACTAAAAATACAAAAATTAGCCAAGTGTGGTGGCAGGCACCTTTAATCCCAGCTACTTGGAAGGCTGAGGCATGAGAATTACTTGAACCGGGGAGGTGGAGGTTGCAATAAGCCAAGATTGCACCACTGCACTCCAGCCTGGACGACAGAGTGAGATCCTGTTTAACAAAAAAAAAAAAAAAAAAAAAAAAAGAAGAAGAAGAAATGCTTAAAATATGTTATTTTCTATGTAATTTTAAACTTTGTATTTGTTTCTTTGGCTTTATTGTTTTAACATCTGAAATTCCTTTTATATCTGTTATTTGACTTCTAATTTTTTACTTAAAATTATTTTACTTTAGATATAATACTTTATTTTTGGACACCAGATGGCTAATTTTTAGGGAGACTATTTGTTCCCATAGCTGAAAGAGATACATCTCAGAGCTTTATCTATCTCAACTCCATCCATACCTGCTTCTCTCTAAAAAAGATGCTTTGGAAACAAAACTCTTCACTTTGACTTTGTGATTAGTCTCAGGAGATAAATGTAGAAGGAAATTTGAGGCTGTGTTTTCATTGTGAGTTTTGTTCTTTAGGAAATTCCAAAAACAAATACCTTGGATAAAAGCTACTTTTTTCTCTTTTTAAACAGAAATATGCACATGTACACGCACATATACTCACAGCTTTGTCTCTTTTAAAACATACACATGCTCTCTCCAGAGGTGTAAAAAAACTAGATTTCAAAAGCTCTTGTAGTTAAAAGTAACTGCCAAGTGTGGAGTTTGAGGCACTGCATAGATGGCACTGCAAAGAGCAAGTAAATAATGATTAAGATATTTTTCATAAATTGTTATATTTGGGCTGGGTACTGTGGCTCCTGCCTCTAATCCCAGCACTTTGGGAGGCTGAGGCGGGTGGATCACTTGTGCTCAGGATTTTGAGACCAACCTAGGCAACATGGCAAAACACCAACTCTACCAAAAAATACAAAAATTAGCCAGGCATGGTGGTGTGCACCTGTGGTCCTAATTACTTGGGAAGATTACTGGACAGGTGAGGCTGCAGTTAGCTGTGATCATGCCACTGCATTCCATTCTGGGTGATGGTGCAAGACCTATTCTCTAAATAAATAAACAACTATTATTATATTTGAAATTGTGGCCTTATCATATGCTAGTTACTATTAATATGTACAATACCGTGTTTTCCAATTTAAGTATTCTTCAAGCTAAATCTCTATGTATAACAATCGCATTTTATTGGTTTAAGTTTGCTTTGTAAATTCAAATTTTAACTCTTATGATACAAATTAGAAGAATGAAACAGTTTTAGTGAGTGCAGGAAATTGAAACTGGTAATAACGGATGATTGGTGTAAACTTACCCTAATGCACAGTTTATTTTTTAATTTTGTTTCCATTTTATGTTACCAAGTTCTGTTCCTCTTAGATAATTAAGTTTCAAGTGATAGTTTATTTTTCTTAAGTTTATGTTCCTATATAAAAATGCTTTTTAACTGATTCATACTCTTGAATGAATAGTAAAAATTGCTTTTCAATGTTAAATTACAAATACATTTAAATGTGTGTATTTCTTATATTAAACACAATACTTAAAATAAAACTGGATGTTAAATGAACATTATATCTAAGAATGACCTCGTCCTCTGTTCTTGGACTATCTACTTTTATGTCTTGATGAGACACTGTACTGAAAAGATGTGCCTGTACCTTGGGGCATTTGATCAAGGGCTCTGAATGCATGTTGCTATAATATGTAGCTTGTAAGATTTTATGTTATTGGACATATGAAGGCCTTTGGAGTTTTTTTTTTTTTTTTTTGAGTTTCTTGTAGAGCTGTGTTTTTTCTTATCATTGATACGTTTAAAAACAAGCATAAATATGGAAGGTAGAACTTTATTCCAAGCTCTGTACAGAAGTGAGTAAACTTATTTACACTATTGAACACATTTGTGTCCTCCATTGAGTGAAATTTGAGCTTATTTCACCTTTAGGCACTCAAGGATTTTAGTTTCGTTTTAAATAGTGCTTAAAAAGTAATTGACATTTAAAAAAATGCAGCACCTAGAAAATTAGTGTGAAAAACATTATCGAAGAAGGAAAGGGGTTTGAAGTTGGTTATGCTGAGCCTGAATCCTAGTGCTGCCACTTTATAGTGCAAAACAGCCTCTTTTCACATCTGTGAAAATGAAACTGATTGGACAGGTACTTCACTTTTTATTTTTTCAAGACAGAGTCTCACTCTGTTTCCCAGGCTGGGCGCAGTGGCGGGATAATGGCTCACTGCAGACTCAAGCTACCAGTCTCAAGCAGTCCTCCCACCCCAGCCTCCTGACTAGCTGAGACTACAGGCATGCCTACCATGCTTGGCTAATTGTTTATTTTTTTGTAGAGATGGGGTCTCACTACGTTGCGCAGGCTGGTCTTGATCTCCTAAACTCAGGTGATTCTCCAGCCTCAGCCTCCCAAACTACTGAGATTACAGGTGAGAGCCACCATGCTTGGCCCATTTACCTTAAATGTGATGTACTTGGATTGAATAAGTTCTAAGGTTGTGAAAACACCTATTTCAGGGCTTGAAAGATTAATCAGACACTCAGTGAGTGTCAGATCTCCTTTTTGATTATGGGCTTTATCAGTCTCTCTAAATGTAGTACTGATTGAAAATAAATTATATGTCCAGAAGATGATGGTTTGAATTCTGTGATTTTTATTTTAGATTAGGTTCTTTTTTCTAGACAGGATTTTTTATTAATAATAAGTTACTTGAACATTAGAATATATTAAATTTTCTTTATAAATTGTATATTATACAGAAAGTTATTCTTGTGCTTGTGAAAGTAAAACATACACACGGTATAGAAACAGTACCGTGTCAGACCAGCCATGTTGCCCAGGCTGACCTCGAATTTCTGGGCTCAAATACCACAAAATTAAAAGATCAATAGAAAAATATGTAATCAATGATATTCTTACCTTGGTGGGTATGACTTAAAATTTTTTACACA